GCTTTTCATCTAAAGAGTGTTTTTCGGCGCTAACGTGTGAGAGAGTTTTTTAGTATTTATTTTTTGTTGAATTTTTAAAAACAAATTATTACTGTGAAGTTTGAAATGAGATGAATTATATTTCTGTTTTGCATTATTACCCAAGATAATTCCGTTTCAGATTAATAGATCAATACCAGAACCACATCTAAAATTCATTTTTATTTACCATTTTCAACGTCTATCAAAAAAAGTTTACAATTGTGAAAGAAATGCACAAACTAACACCCTTCATTATTTTGTGATCCTTTTTGTTTTATTAAATTCAGTATTGTCATCGAGAACATGAGTTAGCATGGCATTTGTTGTGTTTGAATGCTTATCGAATAACCACTATAAAGTAGAAATATATTCAGAAATTGCATTTCACAGACACACTTATACATGCTTTGCACCACAGACAACTATTTCAAAAAGGAATTGAGAAATGAATAATTATACTGAACATTTAAAAATCAAGATCTACATTTTTAGCATCTTAAAAAAAAAGTCTTACACTGTAAACAAGAAGATATCAATCTCTTTAAACAATTTAAAGTCAAGAATGCAATAAAATACAGGAAACAAACAAGTTCTTTAACAATATCTAGTTTTGTCATTTAGGATTTTGAATGGAGGCTTGATGAGGTATGGAAGCAGTGAGGATTGTGGAGGTACAGAAAAATACAGCATTCCCAAATTATGAAAAAATCTATCATACAGTGCTCAGCATATATGAGTACACCCCTCACAAATCTCTCTTTTAAATTCATATTTTAATAGGAAGCTGTACAATATTATATTTGTGCATATACATTAGATTAGTCTGTACTGAAGCCAAATCTGGAGCTTATCTAACAAAATAACTTACGAAAATGGTCCAAAAACTAGTACACCTTAATATATATGTTATATAAAAATATTACATACAAATTTTAAAAAGAGGAAAAATCAAGAGAAGCAAAAAATTTAAATGTTTTGTTGAAATTTTTTGTAGGTTGTACTTTAATAAAAAAAAATTATCGTATTTAATTGTATTAATTGTATTATCATTCAATGTCTAAATCTGTTTGGTGACTAAAATGTTAATTTAATAAACACTGCCTATAGTTACTAAGAAATGGATAAAAATATTAATTTTCAAAATGGAGTGTACTAAATTATGCTGAGCACTGTATGTGGTGCAATTCCCCTACACCATTATCTTTTTCTTTTTTTATTTATTTATTTTTATTTGCACCGCTCTCCCAGTACTGGGTTGCGACTGGAAGGGCATCCGCTATGTAAAACCTATGTGGAAATAGTTAGTGGTTTATTCTACTGTGGCGACCCCTAATAAATAAGGGTCTAATTTGAAGATAAATAGAGGAATGAATATCCACAGCTCTTCGTAGACGGGTCAAACCACATTTGCAAATTTTCATTGCCAATCTTAGCCAATTGTGATTTTTTTTTTTAATCAATTTTGAATATCCACTACCACAGGGTGTTCTGCGGGGTCTTAAAAAGTAAGCTGATAAATCAATTATGAGAAAATTAAGGCTCTTAAAAGGTATTAAAAACTCTTAATGGCGTATTTTATTTTGTTTAAGCTTTGTCCAAAGTGTTTGGCTTCATTAAAGCATAAATATATTTATTTTCCTCCTAATAATAACAACAGCATGTTCGATTGGTTTGGGCCAGGGCACGTCCTGCCAAGCTTCTCCATATGGGTGGTGTCACGTAATTTGCAACAAAGGTGAACCTGATGTGACGCTCTCATGTAGCAAAACCATAGATCGAAACAGATGGCAAAATGGGAAAAAGTAAGTTTGCGTACTCCTGGTTGGAGAAAGACGAGTTTAAACAATGGCTGAAGCCTGTCGCTGAAAACAACAGCGTAATTTATTCTTTTAAGCTTTGTTTCTTCTGAGCTTATCTGAGTTCTGTTGCATGGTTGTGCTCCCTTGATTTAACTGCATCTGTTGATTAACAACTGTTTATTAGGTTAAAGGTTTAATTCTGATTAGAACAGGTCTTAAAATATTCTGAGAAGATCTTTAAAAAGTCTTAAAAAGGTATTGAAATTATCTTTAGGATTCCTGCATATACCCTGTGCCAACGCAGAGCCCCAGGATCGGAGAGTAGAGAGGCTATATTGACCTGCAAGATCCTAGTATCTTTTTAATGCGAATTAACAGAGTAAAGGAAGTCTTCCTCTATTGAATCCTGATACACCAGCTGCTATAAGAACTGCTCAGTGAAAATGGAACAAAAATAATGGAAATATGTTGATGCAAATGGTGAGGTGTTAATGTGCATTTAAAAACAGTTTGGGATTTTATAGACAGTGTTGGGTAAAGTTACTTTAAAAAGTAATGTATTACAATCATGAAGCCTTTCAAACCATAATATTTATATAAAATAACAACATACTTTCGTGCTACTTTCCTTAAAAAAGTAACTAACACAATTGGTTACTCTTTTAAAAACATAACTTAAGATGGTAATGTAGTACTTTTAAAAGTAACTAAGGATAATCCTGAAATAAAGATGAAATAACAGGGAGTGTTTAATTTCTTTAATGCGTGTAACAATGTTCATAAACAACAACAATATGAGGCACAGTGAGCCTAATAAACTGAGAGGTTACAGAAGAAATATTTGATAACATTACAATATTTTAATACATTTATATTTCCGAAGACTAACGTTTTCTGGTTAAAATGATCAAAACGAAACTATATTTCACGATATAGGCTTCAATCGTTCTGAAAGCATTATGAAAGGTAAAGAATAATCACAGTTGTGTGTTGAAGATTTCTTTATATCCAAAAGCTTTTTATAAACTCTCAAAGCCAATCCAAATTAATTATTCCGTATACACACATAATTCGCTGGTATCCCTCTCATCAAATACACTTTGGTTCATTTATAAAGTTTGTGTTAGATGTGACGTCTCATGAAGATCTTAACGGAATCCTTTAAAAGATGCTCTTACTGTCAAATGATTTTTAAAGAGACAGATCACCCAAAATATGAACATTTGCTTTTAATTCACTCACCTTCAAGCTATTTAAGATGTTGTTGCATTTGTTTTTTTTGGTAAAACATTAAATACATTGGTCACACTATATTTTGATGGGCCGTATGTTGAATTTAAGTTAAATTGCCAACTAATTCTCAGAATATTATAAGTAGGCTGTTAGGCTAGGGTTAGGGTAAAGACATGTACTTGCAAAGTTTCTTATAGTCAGTTAAATGTCTGTTTAGCAGCAATATCAACACATATTAGGCAGACAGTCTACTAATACTCAAATGGACCATCAAAATAAAGTGTTACCAATACATTTTGTTGTTGTTGTTGTTAAAACTGTGATCTTTAATGATTCATAAAATGCACGTAAATATATGTCTGCATTTTTAGAGTTGTTAAAAAATATGCAGGCAAAACAAAATGAATACACATTGCTCCTGATGATAAATTGAGGTCTTAAGGAGGAAAATGGCTGCTCTATGCAAGACACTGAACATTATGTACTGCGTATTTATGACTCTTTATCTTGATATAATCTCATTATATTAGCAGGAGCCACTTAGATATTGCTTGATAGATGCTAATATCAGGTTTGAAATGCTGTCCCGGGAAAGAACCCTGAGCTCGGAGATAATTGAGCCCAGGGTAAATCAGCATGTAAGGGGGCCCAAAATCTAAGTTTTCGAGAGCTCCATTTTGGTAGAGGAAAAGTGGCGGATTTGGTTGGACGGGTGGATTCTTCAAAAATTAAGATATAGGAAGTAAGGTGAAATGGGCTATTTATTGTAGGCTTGGATTAATCTGATTGGTTTATCGATGATTTCAGATTAGAGCCCAGCCGCGATCAATCATATAACGTGCTCCTCTCAAATTAGTTTATAAAACTTCACTTAGTCTACATATTTGTATTTATTTTTTGTCTTTCAAAGTGTTGGTAGCTGGATATATGGATATATATATATATATATATATATATATATATATATATATATAAATAAATCTAGGGTGGCCAGCCCTGTTTCTGGAGAGCTACCTTCCTGCAGTTTTCAGTTGCAGCTCATATCAAATACACCTGCCTGTAATTAATTATTAAATGGTGTTCAGGTCCTAATTAATTGGACCAGGTGTGTTTGATTAGGGTAGGAGCTAAACTCTGCAGGAAGATAGATCTCCAGTAAGAGGGTTGAGCAACCATTTCAAATGTTGTTCTGAAAATATTTTTAAAAACTACATCTGGGATGGTTTGAAGGTGAGTAAATGAATAGTATGTTTTCATTCTTGATTGAACTGCGCACTTTTAAATAAATAGAAAGTTCACTTAAGGTATATTTACTCACCCTCGGGTGGTTCCACACTTTTATAAGTTTCTTTTTTTCTCTTGTACACAATAGAAGATTTTATTTTTGACGAAGAATGTTAGAAACCAGTAACTATTTACTTCCTTAGTAGAAAAAAAAAACTATAGAAATGAATGATTAATGGTTCTGTGGACTTGCTGTACAGTGTTTAAACTTTCAACAGTGAAATTTAAACTACACTGAATAAAACTAAACTGAACTTCAACTATGAAATCTGGACTTTACTAGAACTTTGTTTAGCTACTTTGACACAATATATATATTGTGAGAAGTGCTATATAAATAAACATGAATTGAATTGAAATACCGGTTTCCAACATTTTTCAAAATATCTTTTTTTGTCTCCAACAGAAAAGCTAACCGTTTTGTTACAAGAGAAGTATCCCAAAACTATAACTATTTTAAACAGTTCTAAAAGCATGGAATTAGTTCAAATCCCTATCTAACAGAGGAAGAAACCTTGCAAATTAAGTGAAAGTGCAAGACATGTCTGATGAAAGGAATGGTTTAATGCGGAGGCAGTGACTGGCTTTACTACAAAAGAATTCACATGTTAGCGTGTCAAGCAAAAAGAGCAGAGTGAGAAGAAAACGTGCACCAAAGCAACGTAAATGAAACCACATTCTTTAATGTGCAACCAAATACTCCACGTATACATGAATGCACATTGAAGACAAAACATCGAGGCATCAACACAGTATATGAGACCTGACATTCTCTGTACATACTGTACAGTGGATCGATGAGTAGAAAATGCATTCATAGATGAGATGAGTCTAAGCACAGTTGTTGTTTTTTTTTGTTCGCAAACACTGTATCCACAGACTACGGTCTACGTGGTCGTTTAAACACTCATGCGCTGAAAGAAAACCTTTAGGCATGCAATTACAAGAACAGAGAAGATCAAATCAACAGCAAAGGCCGACATTAGAGCAGGCAATGGGTTCATTCTAATCCATTCACACTTCTGTCACGGTGGCAGCGAGTTTCCTCTTCCACCCAGTCCTTTTAAAGCTGTTTGGTGGAGCAGATCCTTCAGGCACAGTGCTGTACATCCCAATGAGACACCAGGACAGGTTAATGCTCCTCTACATGGGAAAGCAGTGCTTGCACAGGAGGATTATACTCTAGATTACACACTGAGAGACTGACAGACAGACAGACAGGGATGACGGAAAGACGGACGGTTCGGAAGTGGATTTCACCACCCTATCCTGAAGCGTTGATGTAGAGCTGACTTTGCAGGATGTAGTCGATGACAGGCTGGCTCAGGTAATCCACCACATGGCCGTCACCGTGCTGAAGAGCCAGTCTGAATAGAGGAAAAACAAGAGCGATTTGCACAATATTCACCTTTAATACCTCTTTTGCACAATATCCTGCACAATATTGTTCAGTCTCATGTAAAAGTACTTGTGTAGCCTGTCCTATGTGTTTAGTTATCTTATAGTATGTCAGTTATAGGCATAGGCTGGTATAAGATTTTGACAGTATGATAACCTTGAATAAAAATATCACGGTTTCACAGTTTGACGGTATTGGGATTACTGCTGTAAAATATGTTCTTTTTATATGTCTGGGTAAAAAAAATTTAAACTTTTTCCCTTTTGAAGACAATACATTTTTTTAAAAAATATATTTTAACAGTAAACATGTCAGGCTAAATAATTAAAATCAATCACTGACTTCTGCCGTCTTTATTAGTTAAAAAAAAAAAAAAAAAAAGTTTTTACATTTTAATACCTTAGGAACGGTATATCAGAAAATGCTGGTGGTTTTAAAACCTTTTAAACCTTTTTAAAACCGAAAACAGTTATCGTCCCATGCCTAGTCAGTTATGCATACACTATAAAACCCAACAGTCAACTTTATCAAATGAAATGAGTGTAATTAACTCAAAATTGACTGAAGGTTAATTCTACTCACTTGAAAAGAGTTTTGAACGCAGTGTTGAAGGTAATGAGTTAATTAAATACCTCATTACTTCAACTTAAATGGAGTAAGTTTACAGCACTTGTATACATAAATTTTTTTTAACTCAAATGGTTTGTAGCAATCGGTTTTCTCAAACAGTTTGAGTTGCCTTATCGGGTTTAACTGTGCTCAAATTGCTGTATTAAGTGTATTAATTTCACAGTACTCATTAGGATTATTTTTTTAACTTAAATGGTTGGTTGCAATCGGTTTCCTCAAACGATTTTAGTTATCTTATTGAGTTTTGCAGTGTAGCTTTTTAAAAAAAATTGCAATTATGTCCAATATTGTGTTTGTATTTTTGATTAATTTATGTAGCACCGTGTTCCTGTGAGACACGACATTTCATTCCTCTGTATGTCCACACATGTAGCAGAATGACAACAAAGCTTGACGTGACTTGACTTGAAAAACTAAAGACTTTTAAAGAGTGTAATCTTGCCTTTAAACAAGTTAAAGCGATAGAAATATAGACATGAATATGAAATATGAACATTTCCTCACAATTGACTCGGTCTCAAGTGGTTCTAAATGTTTATAAATTTCTTTATAATTATTTTGTGGGTTTTTTTTATTATTATTTTTTTGCTTCCAGAACCTGATTGTTATGTCCTACAACAGTAAAAATACAAGGATAGTCCAAACTATACTAAGGAGGGTCATCATTTACTCAAAGAAGTTATGAAATGTGCTGAAAACCAGCAGCCATTGACATTCATAGTTGGAACAAAAATATAATGGAAGGCAATGGCTGCTGTTTTCCAATAGAATTTAAAGAAACTCAAACATTCATTCAATCATTTTTATTTCAGCTTAGTCCCTTTATTCATTAGGGGTCGCCACAACGGATTTTGTAGATTTAGATTTTTCTCCAAACTTTAAATGTGGTCCATTTTACATTTAAAATTTACTACAGGTTTTCTGTGAAGATTAAGAGTAGGGTTAGAGTAAGGCAATATCATAAGTGGTTTTAGTTTAAGTACATACCATACATTATGGTAAAGAATAGAGAGGTGAACACAAACCTGCTCTTGGTGGAACTGACGATTGACATCGTGTGGTCGATTTCATCTTTTACCACAATTATATTATCCTGTGAATGGAAACCAAAGCCATTAATACAATAAATTTGCCCTGATCCCAATGTGCTGACGGTAGTAAAACAGCCACACATAGTCTTCTGTGATTTATAACATATTTGATGCAAATACCTTATGCTTTCTGAGCACAGAGGAATGGTTCATTATCCGTTCTGTGTCTGCTCCATCTCGAGGCACCACAACTATCCCGAAATCTCCAACAATCACCTCCATCTAGACAATTGGATGTACAGTACATCACAATTTGGGAAAAAATGACAATATTAATTTTCATTTCATGCTGACTTTTAAAAGCAACACTATATCTGAGTTTCCATCACCCAGTGTTATTGCACGTTCGGAAGTATCGCATGAGAAACTTTAAATGCTTATGATACACAGGGCAACTTTTTAAGCAATGTTGCTGGGCAACCTAATAAATGGGTATCCAGGTGAGACACAGGGTAACTAATTAGGGCAATGGGTTACAGATGCAGTACTGTTGCCCTTTCTTAATAGAAAATAGGCAAGCAACATTTGCCCTGTGTATCATCATCAGCATAAAGGATAGTTCACCCAAATGAATACTGCAGAATTTAAGCATTCCGACTCATTTTGCCACCAGGGCTCACATATTTTAAACAGTATCTACACATTTGTGAGCACGAAAGACAGTGAAATACACAATGAATGATATCTTACATCACTTTCGTTCCACAAGCCGGGGATGCAGAAAGACTCCAGGAGATCACTGCCACAGAGGAGCAGGATACGCAACTCTGAACAAACCATAAAATACACACACACACACACACACACACACACACACACACACACACACACACACACACACACACACACACACACACACACACACATACATACAAACATACAAACTGTAATGAGCTGGTTTTCCTTCGCTGTGGGGGTAAACACAACAACTTTTATCAGATGAAAAGAAACAAGCCACATTTTCCCCACGAGGAGGAGAATGAGGCACTATGCTTTACATTCAGACTTGTATTATAGAAAGTTTCCTGTTTTGTTTATTTCTTTGACAGCTGTTTGTCTTGTTTGATGTTATTTATATTTTCGAGAAATACACAGTGACTTTTTCTCTCTCCTTGGGCAAACTCCCAAGTTTGTTTTCCTGACAGAGACTCAAAGTGACAAGCAAGGACTGATTTGAAAACCAAAAACCAAAGCAAGGAAAATCACATCGTCTCACCGATTTCCTCGTAGCGCATTGCAGTACCAAGGTTGGCATTTTCATCTGTTCGAGAAAAAAAAAAGCAAGAAAGGCTTGAGAGGTCACAGAGATCATTGATTCATTGGAAGTCATCACAGTCATGTAAAATTTATTCACATCCTGTGTGAAGCCTATGAATAATTCAAAATAATTATACGGAATTATGTGATTTCTACATGAACCCAGCCACAAGGCTTCAGCATATCACTGTTACACACTTTGTTCTCCCAAAAATATATAATAATACAAACTGAAATTGGGGGTTTAAATAGGGACATTTCACCTAAAAATAAACTCTATAATTGTTCAAATTCTTTTCTTTCTTCTGTTAAACAGAAAAGAAGATACTTTGAAGAATGTTGGGAACTACTTGAGAATAAGGACATGGTGAGTAATTTTTCATTGTTGGGCTGAACAATTCCTTTAATGGTTGGGGAAATTAGTGCAATGTATTTGATTTTCAAATATGATTATTGAAAATAATGCAATAAAACATAAATATAAAAAATGTTGATTCATTGCTTTTATTTATCATAATAATTTAATGTCTTGATCATATATTTTCATTTAGGGTATATTTTCAAAAACAAAAATCCACATATAAATATTGATTGATCTTCATGTCATTTCATAAATTTAACTATTAGATATAAAAAATGTAATTGGGGTGCGTTTCCCAACTATGACATAACTAATGGCTGAACTATCATAGCACGATGCATCGTTTGGGAAAAGAATGATGTAGTGACCAGTGTTTCCCAAAACCATAGTTTCTGTCGCAGATCCGTCATTTGAACCACGTTAATTATAACTTAAAACCTCAATAAAGACTCTCTAAATGGGGTGGCGTAACAACTTCTTTAGAGTAAATGACCATCATTTTTAAAATAAAATAATATTGTTTTACACAAACACGTATTTAAAAAAAAATCCAATGTTAGTTTGGGTAAAAAAATGCACTCGTTTTCAATATTAATTGAATTAAATGTAAATTGCACATGTAGGGCTTATGTTTAATTTACAAATATTATTGAGAATATTCCATATTCTATGCTAAAACATAAAAGTACTTGACCAACACTCTAATCTCTCATGTATAAATCATATAAATTGTTTATGGTTGTAATTTACAGTAGACTACTTATTAAGATAAGTAATAATAATAATAATAATAATAATAATAATTATTATTATTATTAATATTATTATAATTTTTATTATTATTATTATTATTATTGCTATTATTATTATTATTATTATTATTATTATTATTATTATTATTATCATCATCATCATCATTATTATTCATTCATTTTCTTTTTGACTTAGTCCCTTTATTAATCTGGGGTCAACACAGCGGAACGTATTCAGCATGTTTTTTTCCGCAGTGGATGCCTTTCCAGTCATTGCAGAAATGTTCTAACCTCTAAGTCCATGTCATATACTGTAGGTTACAGACACATCTCTTAATAAATAACCTATAAATTAAACACATTAACGTATGCTTTTATTTGTTTCACAAGCTTTGGAGACATAACGTAAATTCCGCTTTTAAATAATTGGTCACATATAGCTTTCGTCATGAGCCACGGCTGCATTCAAAATGTCATAAATGTTTTCAAAGTGCACTACGAAGGGAGCACAATTGTCAATATGAAGATCGCTAAAACTGAACAGTAAAAATACTTTGAAAGCAAACAACACCTAAAAGAGATGACCTTAATGCTTTTATTTTTTAAACCATTCCCAGTTTTAATGTTGTAATGCAACACATTCTAAATAAATGGGGTATGGGGGGAAAACTGGGAATAGAACAAGAGGTGTCGTTACAAGCGTACAACTTGCAACCTTAGTTAGCTAATGAGGGTTTTAAGAAATGCAGCCCTGGTTGGTGAAAGTTTAAGGCTAAGAATTTAAAACTTTTATTCCAAGTTTTCAAGTTTATTTGTATTTTTTGTTTATTTATTTGTACTTATTGTAATTTGTTTATTTATTTGTAATTATTGTTTCAAAACAGCTTTACAAAAGGTGCACATTATTGAATTACAATCAAATTAAGTTTAAGTTACAATTAAATATAAGTTATTATATACAGACGTAGTTAACCTGCAATCTTAGAACATATAGGTGATGTATGTGTACATGTTTTTGAGTGAAACATATAATGTGTTGTTGTAAATGATTATACCAACTTACCAACAAAGGTGAAACGATCCATGTGTGGCCGAACGCAGCAAATTTTACCCAAGCTCTCGCTCATCTTTCCCCAAAATTTAACTTTAGAAAAAACACATAATATGAGTTAATTATTATGGATGTCCAGTTTTCCTAAACTCCAAACATAAGGATCTGAACAGCACTTACTGGCCACAGACTTGTTAACTGTGTTTTGGTAAATTGCAGATGTCTCGTTTTGGGGTTGGCCAATCACAGGGGTGGTAGAGGGTGTGTTCACATTAGACAGAATGCATCCCGTCACTCTCTGTGGATGAATGGTTCGATTATATACTTTAAAAAAAGAATCATAGCCTTCTGACCAAATTTAGGACTAACCTTCATTAGGTCTCGGTGATGCTCCAAAACACTGCAGGTGGTCTGCCAAGTGTCCTGGTAGCACTCCCAAGGATCCACTCTGGAAAAGACCATTAATCATTAAAGTTCTGAATGTCCATTTCACATTAAAGCCCATCCATGTTCTGCAGAATTCAAGGATATATAAGCTGCTTTGAATTCTTATGAGGCGATACCTGCACCTCTTTATGAATGATTGACAGTTACCTGATCCAATCAGAAGACTGAACTGCCAGCTGGCACATGGTGAGACGATGTCTGCTTGGGACAAGGCCCTATAAATGCAGAAATATAAGCCAAAACAAGGAAAAGTAAGTCTTCTAGGCCTTAACCTAGCAATGTAGAGAAAACCTGAACTACAAAATAACATGTTTAGATTTAATATTAGATCTTCTACTGAAAAGCTATTACTCAAACATTTATCCTTGTTAGGCAATAATCAGGGTTTAAAACAGTGATTCCTAAAACTGTTTCTTTCACATGTGTTTTGACTCTCAACACAAAGAACTGATGTCGGAATGACTGAATCCTGCTTTCTAAAGCATTTATTATTCATATTTTGTTGCAGAGCGAGAAGAAATCTAGGCCAAAGTACTTTTTAATTCTCTATAGTAACAGAATTCTTATAACAATGTTATAAGAGGTATTTGTTATAACAAGATGTATTTGATTCATTCAAAGAAATCTTATTGAGTAAGTTAAGATTTATTTTTCAGCACAGTATTGATTCATTAATATAAACTTGTAATTTGTAATTTACAGAAGTAATTTGTAAGTTGATAATTTACATAAAACACACTCAAACTTTGCCATGTAAGTGCTTTTTGCAAAACCTACAAACACAATAAACATCATCTGTACAGACACAGATTGCAGATCTCTTATTAGCAATACATAGACGTTTATTTATTTTGCTATTTTCTTCTTGATATTTTATTTTATTAATTTAACAATAAAATTGCTTTGGATAATTATAATTTCGATAATTTAAATATGAGACCCATGTGCCATTTTCAGCAAATCATGCTGGGCAAAAGGGAGTTTAATAAAAATCTATGTATATATGTATGAGCACTAAAGATTTACCCTACTGATTCTGTGACGTGTTTGAGTAGGTCACAGAAATTCCCTGTTTACAAAACTTCCATCTTGAACTAAATAGCGGAAGGGCAAATGGTTGAGAAATGTGTAGTTCAAATGCAATTACACAATCTGCGTTTATTATAAAAGTGGGAATTATTTGGGGGTTTTAATGACTCTTTTAGCTTCCACAGATGCACCAGTAAATAGTGTCTGTGATTGACTTGTGAGTCGTGATTTTATTCGAATTTATTCAAAACTGCTGATTTATTTAGGAAAGGGTGAGCCACTGAATCATTCTCTCAAATGATTTGTTAAAAAACACAGTAACACAAATACATTTAAGTCAATACATTTGAAGTAATTTAGTGAGTAATTTCTACAAATATAAGTTATTTAACATTTCATTATTTCTTAAATAAACACATTTTTTTAATAAAATGACAGTATACTTTATAATAAAAATGTACATTGCATTTATTCAATCTCATCTGGATTCAAATATTTATTCACATATATTTTTTATATGTGGTTTCTATGTTTTGTTTACATTGGGCCCTATCCTACACCCAGTGCAATAAGGTGAAAATAATTTTCCTGCTTTGTGCCATGTTGTTTAAATTTTACATTCGTTTGCACTGCTTTGTGGACTCATGGGTGTTCTGGTATAGAAAAGAGGTGTGTTAAGGCGAATTGTCGGCGTGTTGCTATTTTAAGGAAACTAAAATAGACTGCGCAATTGACCAGCTGAAAGCAGGTCTAAAGTCCAAATTCAGAGCACGGTAGTTTTGTGCCTTAAATGCGTACATATTGCTTAATAAACACAGGATGTACAGCAATACACATATCTTTACAAATGAAAAAGAATAAATTAAAATTTAAATGTTACAATTTTTTTCTACATAAATATAACAACCACTGCCTCCATGCCTTCTTCATCTCATGGGGCATTTTCAGTTTATTTATGACAATTTGCTTTTGTATAATGTTATTATTCTTATTATTATTAGCACTATTATTTATCATATGTATATTTATATTTGTTTTATTAAAAACAAGTTTAGATTTGTCCATCTGTTGGGTTTTGGAGATGTCTGCATTATCATATGGGGCATTAAAATAGTATTTGTTTTTGGACATAACTCATAAAGTTTTTTGATCACACTTCATTATTGTTGTTTATTTATTGGTTTGCTGCATTAGACCTTTAGAAATAGTTTTGAAACAAATCTTTGCGCTTAACATACAAATTTAAATATGTAGGCTAATGGATCTCTTTAGTGGAGTGCGTACAACACTTTTTTAGTATCCAAAGAAGTAAAGGAGTATAGTAAAGAGTAAAAGTAAAGTAAAGAGAAAGTAAAAATGCTGAATGGAGTAGGCTTGTTCTTTTATCCTCACGCTGTAGATGGTCTGTTTAACTGTTTTCTCGCTAGTGAAGCGTTTAGTTTTTCCACTTAGAAAATTCAGCCAAGTAAATAGCAAATGCGCCATGGCATGACACAACTGACTCCTAAAGGGATTGGAAGATGAGACTCTGATTGGCTTAATGCACATTATGCTTAAAACACACCAATAACTCGGTAGGAGAATAAACACAACCCTGTTGGAGCATGCGCTGTAGTGCAAAATTTATTTCTCCGTCCTTAAAATAGCAAAAGTGGATTCAGACACGCCCTTAATTCTTTTGTGCTACGCATTTTACTATTTGCTCCTAGATCGTTGAAAAGGGAGCCCATTATTTTGAAAAAAATTGTAAAACGGTAGCTACCGGAATCCATAGTAGAAAAAAGTAATCTAATAAAGTCAATGGGTTCCGGATTCCAACATTCTTTAAAATATCTTCTTTTTATGTTCAACAGAAACAAAATCAGGTTTGGACATAGTGGAGGTTGAATAATTGATGACCGAATTTTTTCATTTTTGGGTGAACTTTTCCTTTAAAGTGAACGGAATATCAACACTGAAGTGATTATCTGTGGTATACGATGCATTAATGCACCTACTCCTGAACCCAATTCAGACTTATTCATCTCAGACTTACCGGTTTTCCATAGGAATCATGTACAGGAGAGACGATTCCTCCAATCACAATGAATCGTCCAGTCTTGTGCAGATACTCTCTGGCCTTTTCTGCAAAGCAAACAGGATAACTTTATAATGTTGTGTGACACACTTAGCCTGGATGAAAGTAAGAAAGTAAAAAGCAGGAAAGCACCTCTGTTTTAACTCTGATGATGACTGATCTATGATTTCCCACACACTGAAAGCACCTAGCTCTATCTGTCTGATATAACCTCACACCCCCAGCCCCATCAAAAATACTGACAGAATGAGTGTCAGAAACAAGATCTCATGCTGGGGACTCTATGAAGCAGACATGTAGAAAGAGCTAAAGAAATCTCTCTAGTGTGAAAAAAAAATTATAAAGTTTAAGTGCTAATGCAAAAAAAACAAAACAGAAGCCAAATATATATGAAATACAATCTAGGGTATCTTATTTAATGTTAAGTGTTTTTATTGGTTTCAGATGTCTAAGTGGTTCAGAATAGCCTGCATGAGCTCTGAATGAGCTATAAACCCGTTTTTATTTTTGTACCTCGAAATATATGCAAAGGCATGCAGCAGGAGAAGAAGGCTTAGAAATTAGGTCACGGACACACAGATGCATTTTGCTTCGAGGGGAAAACAGCGGAAGTGTATTGATCAAACTGTGGTGGTGGTTCTCCTCATGTTGCTGAGGCTCTTAGAAATACAGCTGCAGTAACCGAATTAGGGAAAGTACAAAGCTCCCAAGGCTTTTTTTTCCCACTGGTTAGTTTATTGCTGAGCTGAAATGTACAGATGGACAAGCTAATGGAAGAAACACTCTCTTTCTGAGCATCTTTTTTTTCCCCCCACTTACGCTCTTTGTTAAGTATCAGTTAAAAACAGTATGATGGTGTAGTTGAAGGCAAAATTATTAATTTCCCAATTTTTTCAAATTTTTTCTCCAATTTTTTTTTATTCCCCAAGTGCTGTTTAACGGAGAGACTTTTTTTCCGACCTAGTTGGGTCAGTTGGCATTTCTGTGTGGAGTCTGAATGTTCTCCCTGTGTTTGCGTGGGTTTCCATTGGGTGCTCTGGTTTCCCCCACAGTCCAAAGACATGCGCTACAGGTGAATTGTATAAACTAAATTGCTCATAATGTATGATTGTGTGAATGTGAGATTGTGTGGCTGTTTCCCAGTACTGGGTTGCTTCTGGAAGGGCATACGCTGCGTAAAATATAAGCTGGATAGTTGGTGGTTCATTCTGCTGTGGCGACCCCTAATAAATAAGGCACTAAGCCGATGGAAAATGAATGAATGAGTTTTAATAACTAACATCAGCTAACTAATAACTAATTGCTTTTGTCTTTGCCATAATGACAGTACATAACTTTTTCTCTTGTTATTTTTCATTATACTAGTATTCAGATTAAAGGCTTAAGTAGGTTAATTAGGCAAGTGTGTTTTTTAGGCAAGTAATTGGACTTCATTGGTTTGATGTAGATAATTAAAAATGATCATTTCTAAAAAATAATGTTTTTTATATTTTTAATTCATTTTCATAAAATGTATTATTATTATTATTATTATTATTATTATTATTATTATTATTATTATTATTATTATTATTATTATTATTAATGTTCCAGCCAAACTAAAATAAATAAGACTTAAATACATGGTTAAATTAATAAAACCAGACTGAATCAAACTTGCACTTGTATTTTTTATGACTGACTAAACGTTGTCTATTTAGTTTGTTTTCATTTTATCTACAAATTAGTTTGTGTTTGTCAGACTTAATCAAACCCGTAAACCATTGTAAATGTAAAACATTTGGATCAACTTCTATCCAGTACCTTAAAACACCTAATAAATGTGTTTTTAAATTGAATAAAAAAGAATAATTTCTAATATGTATCATACATGTTGCAATGTTGCATCACAGAAAAAATGTCGCTGGTTCAGGTCCCAGCTGGGCCAGTTGGCATTTCTGTGTGGAGTTGGCATGTTCTCCCTGTGTTTTTCCTCCGGGTGCTCCGGTTTCCCCTACAGTCCAAACACATGCGCTATAGGTGAATTGAACTAAACTGGCCTTAGTGTATGAGTGCGTGTGTGAATGTTGGAGTGTATGGGTGTTTTTCAGTACTGAGTTGCAGCAGGAAGGGCATCCGCTGTGTAAATCATATGCTGGAATAGTTGGTGGTTCATACCGCTGTGGTGACCCCTGATAAACAAGTTACTAAGCCAAAGCAAAATGAATGAATGAACATGTATCATATCTTGTCTAAATCTAAATGTTGACTTTTACAGTGTAATTATGGATTTTTTTAATTATTGAAGATTTCATTAATTTCATTTCATTTTGGGCTTAGTCCCTTTATTAAAACAGGGTCGCCACGGCGGAATGAACCGCCAACTTATCCAGCACATTTTTAAGCAACGGATGCCCTTCCAGCCACAACCCATCTCTGGGAAACATCCACACACACTCATTCACACTCATACACTAAGGACAATTTATCTTACCCAATTCAACTGTACCGCATGTCTTTGGACTGTGGGGGAAACCTGAGCACCCGGAGAAAACCCAAACAAATGCAGGGAGAACATGCAAACTCCACACAGAAACGCCAACTGAGCCAGCCGAGGCTCCAACCAGCGACCTTCTTGCTATGAGGGGACAGCACTGCCTACTGCGCCACTGCGTCGCCCCTTATTGAAGTTTTATCCAGATAAAACTTATAAACAGAAGTGTGTCACTAGAGTGAAAACACAGAAAAAAGTGAAAATTCTTTGTATTTATTCATGGTTTACATCTGAGCACTTGATTGACTCATTACAAATAAATTATAATGCTCATGTACAGTATGTTTGAATCAAGCTGATACTGTTTCTTACTAAAAACCTTTAATGAATTTTAGCCATTCGCTTAAATAAAAACTATATTTTGGAGAGCTGAAAGTATACACCTTTTTTTAAAAGAATACCATTATTGTTTTCATGTAAAGTACAAAAGTGGTATTTTGAAAAAAACTGTGTTGTAATGTGCTGTTTTTAAATTCACCATTTTAAAAACACCTTTAAATTCATCAAGTATCGAATCAATACTTTGTAATCCCAAAGTCACACAAACAAAACCTAAGAGGAAAACATTGGACTTGAAAGTTTATTTTAATGCACTTTTTCTTTTAAACACAAGGTTGTGCTTTGTGTATTGCTTTTAAATTGTGTTGTACATCAATGACCTTCTGTCTTTATGCAAGCTGAAATGCAGAACTGAAAACAGTTCAACTTTAACAATAAATAAAGTATTTTCTGCTCACCAAGGTTGTTTGTTTTGTTCCCAAAATTCAATAAAGCAATGTTATTTTAAAATATTATTTGAATTTAAAATAGATGCATTTTTAAAAAGGGATTTTTCTATTTTTGGTAATCCTCAACTGTATGAAGCAGCCCATTGTATTTTGATAATAAAAAAAAAAGTTAATCAGAACAGAATGATTCAGATTTGAAAGGTGATAAAATATATTAACATTAAACTGTTATTAAAATTGAAATTATATTTCTCCGTTGCTGTTTTAATGGATTTTTTATTACTTTACGTGTCATGAATAAACATGTTTACATCTTTTTGTTGCAACAAAGTAATGTAATCAAGATGTAATCGACTCTAAACACATATATTGTAAAAAAGGTTGTGAACAACCTTATATAAACCTAGCTTATATTTTATTTTAGTTTATTTCCCTGAAATAAAATCAAAACATTTTACTTTGTTTGGTGGTATAGGAGACTATAAAGTATTTAAAGGTATAGTTCACTCAAAAATAAAATTCTGCACTGTAAAACCCAACAGTCAACTTAATCAAATGACATGAGTGTAGTTGAATCAAAATTGACTGAAAGTTAATTCTTCTCATTTGAAAAGAGTTTTGAACTCAGTATTGAAGGTAATGAGTTAATTAAATACCTCATTACTTCAACTTAAATGGAGTAAGTTCACAGTACTCAGATTAGTTTTTTTTTAACTCAAATGGTTTGTAGCAATCGGTTTCTTCAAACAGTTTGAGTTGCCTTATTGAGTTTTACAGTTGGTTTGAGTTCTCTTCATTTATTGGTTTTTACTTTGCTCAAATTGCTTCATTTACTCAAATGAATTAAGTTCACAGTACTCAGTAGGATCAGTTTTTGAACTTAAATGGTTTGTTGCAATCAGTTTCCTCAAATGGTTTGAGTTACCTTAACGTTTTGGGTTTTACAGTGTGTCAACATTTAATCACCCTTTACTTGCTTAAAACCTTAATAAGTTTATTTCTTCCGTTAAACACAAAAGAAGATATTCTGAAACATGTTGGAAACCTGCAACCATTTAGTTTTAGTATTTGTTTTTCCTACAAATGAAGAAGATGTTTTTCAGCTTTCTTCAAAATACTTTCTTGCGTTTTTATAACAAGAGGTTAATAAATGATAGATAATGGCTGAATCGCTTTAACAGGTCAACATCCTACGTATTCATATTATTACATATTCATATTTTAAAAATTACACAGCAGGTTATTTGTCTTCCAATAGTGTCAAGTAAGTTAACCTTCGCACAAGTAAAGATTAATTACACTTGTTGAAATGCCATAAATCACAACTCTTTATTGCTTGTGTCCTTAAAATTTGTGAATGAATCTAGACATATATGTAGCTAAAGCCGCGGCTGCGCAGCACCATCATTATGGGCCGTCGCCCATTTCAGCACCTTCCCCCTGGACAGCGACCGACAATACAAGTTCATCACAGAAATAAAACATCTAATCGATCACAACAGCTAAAAATCATCAGGGTCACTCGGACTCCCTTCACATAGCGACACATAAGACAAAAGGCTGAATTAAAAATCCGCTCGCGCATCCACTCCCTCCAGCCCAGGCGGAGCACTTACCGAACATATGAATGTGTCCCTTCGTGATGGGGTTGAAACTTCCACATGACAGCAAGATGACATGCGTTTTGGTGTTCTCCGTCATTGTGGCTTCGGCGAACTATCGTTTTTTAACATAAGTCGTAGGTTTTCGGGCCTTTTGTTTTGTTGTGAGACCGCAGCGAGAGGCGAGGTTCATGAGGCTGCGGCAGCGCGAGCGTCACTCTGCTCTGACGAACATGCGCGGAGAGCCGAGAATCAAGGAGCTGCGATTCTGTTTCATCTGAACGAGTCTTCTTATTTTCGTAACGAGTCTGATTCTTTTAGTACTTAAGGGGGATTTGGAAAACATGAATTCATGAGACCGTTTAGATTTAGAACAGAACAGATATAGGCTATATATATATATATATATATATATATATATATATATATATAGATGCTAAAGTTGGCCCATGGTAACCTTTGATTTGGCGACCATCCCATCTGTGAATGTTGGGGCCAACACCTTCAACAGAGCTTATCATTTCATAACATAACATTTTGTTTGTTTGTTCGTTTGTTTAAATGTCAAGAAACAAAAAAGCAAATGGAATGAAATGTTTCAATTAAATGTTGTTGTGCATGAATCAGATTTTTAAAAATGATGATCCTCGACAAAAAAATCCAGTGTATTTAAGGAAATCAGCATTGAATACCATTGTGTTATAAATGAGAAAGATTGTTTTTATTGTAAGAAGCTCATTATAATATATATATATATATATATATATATATATGAATTATTAATACAATAAAAGTATTTTTTACATTTATTTGTAAGTATGTATAAATTAGGAAATTACTATGGCAGCTTTAATCTAATAGTTTCATTTATTTAACTTCGGCCCACCACCGTTAATCAAATCTGGTGTTTTGCCCTTCATAAGAAAAGGTTTGGGCACCTCTGCTTTTGACGCATGCATGGTTTGTTAGGATATGGCAATATTTGGTTGAAATGTATGTTACGATGCTGAATTTCGAGAACCTGTGGGTTTAAAAGTAAAAGTAAAAGTAAAAAAAGTAAAAATACTCAAAAGGAAAACTTTGAATAAAATTTTAAATAAAATAAATGATTAAACCTCAAGAAACCTACAAAAAACTCAAGATTTGTGTTGTTTTAGTTCATTTTAAATAAGTAGTTTGAACAAACAGCAAACGTCATTTTTGAGTGCATGAATGGTTGAAGAATTGTAGATTTCAATACAAATTTTGTGTAACTATTTTTACCCTGAAACCTTGGTAAAAACCTTGATTATTTTATTAATTAACTAATTTATTTATTTATTAAATAAAAAAGCAGCAACTACTATTGTTGCTAAGGTTTTATACTTGAATCCCCAAATCTTAAAAGTTTATATAATTATATAGAAAAGTAAAAAAGTTAATTTACTTTAAGTACAATTTATGAAGCTAATTTGTTTTTCAAGTTCCCGCTGTCTGTAAAACTACATCAAAGCTTTTCACACATAATCTTACAGTTTATGATTCTACAAAGCTCCTGAAATGAATGAGTATCAATATCAGTGCGAGTACACTAAAAGAAAAATATACAGAAAATATACTGTCAGAAAAGTATTGATTAAAACACAATGTGATGTGTAATTATGTGTGTAAAAAACACACAAAAGTCATGTAAATGGAAGATTCCTTCAAATTAACAAAGTAAATTGTATGCATATTTACAGATTTTTCCCCATGTTTGTCAGTACTAAAAATATATTCAAATACACACGTCCAGTCCAAAGAGGCAAACCAGTGGCCCTCAATAACACTGTTTGACTCTGTTTCAGCAAAACATCCTACAGCTGTAAAGTGTGAGTCATTGATCACAGCACCACTGGAATGGTCTTTCTTCTCAAACCAATCAGCAAATACTGTCCAATGAATTATCCAAATATAATTAAATCTGCAGAATAATTAAAATTCCAGCAGCTGATTGAGCTGCTTGGGTTAATTGCTTCTTTCTTACTTCTTATATTACTCCTGTCTGTACATCACTTTGAATAACAGTATCTGCTGTGGTTAACCTTAAATACTGACCATAAGTATAGAAACAAACACGTGTGCAACTTTGAATATGCTATTGCTCTTAGCTCAGCATCACCGGTGTCTGTTTAACATTTTTCCTCACATATTTGCCATTGCATCGGTGATGTGTTTATCAGCACAACAAACTGCGTCCTTGATGACAGGCATTTGAAATTCGAAGCAGCACTACAGTCACAGCGTGACTCATCAAGAGCGAAAGCAAGCTCTCAATGCTCTTAAATGTGTTTTGAATGGAGAAACAGCTCAGTTGAACTGTTCATTATGTTTGCGAGGCTGGATTTTTGTTTGTTTTATATCATATGTCAGCAAATATAGCCAATAATCAACAGTCCTTCCTTACATAAGACTCAAAAGGCTTAAATACATAAAACAAACAGAATTGGCAAGTTTTGCACAAAACATTTGACACAAGTAGAACAGTTTTAACATCTTCAAGGGATGATTAACCCAAAACTGAAAATTCTGTCATCATTACTCACCCTTCACTTGTTCCAAAACCTGTTTGACTTTCCTTTTTCTGCTGAACACAAAAGAAGATATTTTGAAGAATGCTGCAACCATTGACTTCCATATTGTTTTCCTGCTATGAATGTCAAGGGGTTACAGTTTTCAGCTTTCTTCAAGATGTATTATTTGGTGTTCAACTGTATATAGAAACTCTTGAAGGTGGAACCTTTGAGAGTGGGTAAATAATGTATACATTATTATTTTTTGGCTGAACAAGCTCTTTAATTCAGCATTTTTATTGTCATTGTTAAGTGTGTTGAATTTGCCTGCTAGCAAAAATAATAATAATAATAATAATTTGATACTAAAATGTGATATTATTAAGCAATATAATTGGTCTGCAGACTATTCAGGACTGTTTGTTACTAACCGCTGTGGCAACCCCTGATAAATGAGGGACTAAGCTGAAAGAAAATGAATGTTGAGTTTTATGCACAAACTGATTGTACTGTTTTACCCTTCTATGCTGCAACCCAGGACTGGAAAACATTCATACACTCTCAAATTCACAAACATGCACTACAGACAGTTTAGTTTATTCAATTCACCTATAGCGTAAGTCTTTGGACTGTGGAGGAAACTCATGCAAACAAGGGGAAAACATGCAAGCTCCACACAGAAATGCCAACTGACCCAGTCGGGGCTCGAACCAGCAACCTTCTAGCTGTGAGGAGATCATGCTACCCACTGCTACCGCATTGCCATTTATTTATTTATTTATTTATTATTATTATTATTATTCTCAATGGTGAGGGTCTTGACTTCAGCAAGAGGTCACTAAAGATTGAGGGGTCACAGCTTATATGCCTTATTAAAAATAATAATAGAGTTGAGCAATAGCCTTGTGGTTAGCGTGCTGACATATGATGCAGTAGCACGTCAGGGTGTCCTGAGTTAGAATCCTGGCTTGAGGACATTTCCCAACCATACCCCCCTTTATCGCTCCAACTTTGCTTGCTGTCTTATTACTGTCCTATTTAAAAAGGCCAAAAATAAATCTTAAAAAAAAAAAAAAAATTAGAATAATCAATTTTTGTGTCAAAACTTTAATTCTGTGTTGTTAATGTTAGTACATAAAAAGTTATAACTTATAAATCACACAATCAATGTTTCTAACCATTGGCCTACGGAGTAAGACTTTGGATCCAAAGGTCACAAGTTTGTCCTAGAAGCAGCAGGGGTTGTAAGTGAGGATAGTGAATATAATCCAGCACTTTCTTCTACCCTCAATAACATGGCTGATGTGATTCCCTTGAGCAAGACACCAAACCCCCTAACTGCTCCCTTGGCAGCCCACTGCTCTGGGTGTGTGTTCTTGTGCGTAAGTTGCTTTGGATAAAAGCGTCTGCTTAACTGTAAATCAATTTTCATGTAGTTGCTTCAACGAATAAAAGAGTAACTAATTTTTTGATTCTTCTTCTTCTTCTAATTATTCTGAATGTAAAATAAAACAGGGGCGACGTAGTGGCATAGTAGGTAGTGCTGTCGCCTCACAGCAGAAGGTCGCTGGTTTGAGCCTCGGCTGGGTCAGTTGGCGTTTCTGTGTGGAGTTTGAATGCTCTCCCTGCGTTCGCATGGGTTTCCTCCGGGTGATCCGGCTTCCCCCACAGTCCAATGACATGCAGTACAGGTAAGTTGGGTAGGCTAAATTGTCCTTAGTGTATGAGTGTGAATGAGTGTGTGTGGATGTTTCCAAGAGATGGGTTGCTGGAAGGGCATCTGCTGCATAAAAACATGCTGGATGAGTTGACGGTTCATTCCACTGTAGCGACACTGGATTAATAAAGGAACTAAGCCGAAAAGAAAATGAATTAACGAATAGAAATAAAATTGAGAAAAAGGGATTGGAACCACTGGCCTCCATTTTGGATGGAGTAGTAATGCAATAGTTGGCCAAATATGTATATTTACCAGTGGTGGAAGGAGTACTAAAAAATCATTCTTAAGTCAAAGTACCAATACAGTAATGGTAACGGCATTACTTACCTAAAGATTTAGTGAAAGTACAGTAAAAGTGTTTGTTGTAAATGTTACTAAAAGTATGAGTAAAAAGTAGACCATTCAAAAGTACTCAAGAGTGAGTATTACGCTGTAAAAAAAAGATGCATTTTCATGTAATTTGTGCATGTGTGTGTAAACGTAACATTCTGTAGTGCATTAAGTTTTTGCCCAGCAGGCACACAACGTCATAAGATGCTAATATTAGGTTAGATTTAGGTTATGATATTAGGTGATCAAAATTCAATGTCTAACCAGCGTCAAATAATGTTATTTTGATATCCAATCACAACATCAAATGACGTCTATATTTGATAGATTTTAGCTTGTGTTAGAAAGTGACCAAATTGCAACGTCAAGCCACCATCTTAAACCAATATCTTAATTACATCAAATAATGACATTTATTCGTCAGGTATGGCAACCAAAATCCGTATTGGTAACATTTACACAACGTCAAGCTGTAACATCATTTGATATTTGTTTGATTTTAGGTTGGACAATTTCTAATCCCCATAGACAAGAAAAAATAGTGACTGCAGGTTGAAGGTACTGTAAGTAGTGGAGTAAAAGTACAGATACAGCACTAAAAATGTAATGTAAAAAGTACACATTTTAAAAACTCAATTACAGTAGTTTGTGTATTTGTAATTTTTACTTTACACCCCTGATATTTACTTCACTGTAATAGAATTACACCCTTTGATATGCCTGCAGAAATTTTACAAAAAGGTCCAACTGTCTGGACCTTAAGTTCTGAAGTGTTGTTTGACTTTGCTCAGCTTTGGTGTATTTTTATTAGGAATGATACCACGTTTATTTAAGTATTTGCTTTGCTGTGAGCAAAAATGTAATGGTTGCTTTGAGGTGGCGTGTTCATTGTTTTAAAAATATGCAGTAAAATATCCACCTGTTTATAAAATGTAAGTGCGCGAGGGGGCGGGGTGTGTGACGTTGATCTGCGCGCTCCTGTGTGTACGTCTGGACCTTTTCACCAATGACGATGTGATGGACAATATGGCGCCGGGAGTAGATTTAGCTTGTGAATCTGTCGTTGTCTAAAAGACTGGCGATCCGACAGGATGAACCTCTGCGCCCAATACTTACGGTGAGTAAAATCCGGAGATTCCCAGACGCAAATTGGCGACTGAGCGCGTGTTTCTGTCAATGAGGGCGACTGTGGTTTATCGGAATGTTGTTCGGCTTGCTTTGGCTGTCACTGCTAGACGCTAGGCTAGTTAGCATGCTAGCATGCAAACGAGACACGAAACAAAATATAAGCAAAAGTGGTTAATGTTTTACCCTAAACGTCGCCAAAAAGGATTGATAATCGAACTGTTAAACAAATCGAGACATTTGCAGGTTCTAACGGCATTTCGTGTTTACAAAACAGTTGTTGTGGGAGGACATGCTAGGTGTTGTGCTATGTTAGCCCGCGTTAGCTACAAACATACCACTGGATGGAGTCAGAAAACAATTCAGTTACACCTGTATGCTGCGTTAGTCATAAGGTTTTAGATGACTAATGGTATTTGTGGAAATAACCTGAAAAATAGACATCCTCTTTTTGCGTGTATGCGTTACGCATTGTCTTCATTTTAGGTTGAATTATGTATAACAGTGATGAGCCAGTTGTGACTGGACTGATGTACGTTAAGGCGCTTATATACAGCTGTTAGTTATGTGGACGACATGTGAGTTTTGACCTTGTTTTAGTCGTGACTTTTGCCACTCGAACGTTTTACGTTATTCGATTAGACAATAATAGACGTTCTGGTGAAGGATTTCTTGAGTCTTTATATCTGTACGAATATCTGTGTTTGTGCTTCAGCAATCTCTGGTTGGCTCAAAACAGCGTGACATGAATCGAGCGAGTGAGGTGATAAATGAATTCGGCAGCTGGTAATAACAAATCCAGGCCGTTTGAACGTGAAAGGTTGTAAGCAGTGTGTTTGTTGTTGAGTGTTGTGAAGGAATGCGTGATGATGACAGACAACACGTTTTAGCATCTAACGTCAAATTAAGTAGATAACTTCAGTGAGCTGGTATTGCTTTAGCTGAGTGCTGACAGAAGGAAATACGACTGCAGAAAAGCTTCATATTGTTCCTATTTAATATCATCTGGAGCATCATCATATGGGGCTTGTATGACTAAACAGATCATCTACTGTTTGTAGAAGTTGTTATCTAATACACAATCCCACGTGTTTGGAGGGGGTTTTCATCTGCATCAAATGCATTGTTTTTGTTGGTTTTTCAGTACAATGATATCTGAAGGTCAAATAAAATGTGACTCGTTGTGCCATAGTTTTTGTAGGTTTTTGATGCCTAAGAATGACGTTTAGCTGTTGTAATGTTGGCATTTTTAGGATAGCTGAGAATAGATGCGCGTTTGTGTAATGAAGGAATTTATGGTGTTATAACAATAGTATAAAATGATACTGGGAAAAATGGGTATTTCAGCAGTAGTATTGTCATGATGGCCAAAGCATATCTATACTATAGGTTGTTTTCACATGATGTCATTGATGATGTGCGGAATTCAGATGGAGGGCAGGAAGTGATTGTTCTACATAGGAACCGCAATCAGAACATCCAAATATTTCTGTTTTGTGTTGTTTAGAATTGTTTAAATCGGCCAAAATAAGAATTGCCAAACAGCTTTTGAAGGCTTTCAAAAGTTTTTGCTCATAAAGAGGAGAAAGTTCAAGAAACTGGCTAAAAAACAGTAGAAAAGGCGACATGTTATAAACATTTTTTATTACGTCTATGTGTGCAAACACGATAATTTGTTTGACTGCACTAATATAGATTATATACAGGCTTAACTGTGTAAAAATATGTTATGCGTTATATAAAAAATCAGATATAAACACCACCACACTCAAATAGTATGAATAATATAAATAGTACCCTGCTATTTAATCTCTGCAATGAAATCTGTCTTGTTTTGGAACAATACAAGCCCTTTCTTGCATTTCGGCAGGATAAACTGCAACGTGAACATCGAGATGCGCAGCAGCGGTGACTGTTTGCTTTTGTTAAGTTCATCAACAGAACAAATAGCACTTTTTCCCCTTACGAAAATAAATAACATGAATATAATGTAGACTATGCGTCCACGCTTTTGTATGCTTTCATCAATTATTTCGTGATGTCTGAAAGATATCCGCATGGGAGAAAACTATAGTAATTATTAATAAACATGTTTTTGAACCGCATAGTAAAGTGTTTAATGTGTACAACTCTTTGTTAATGAATGCTACCGAATACTGTAGCATAGTAAACTGATAAATTGTAACAAAATACTAATAATGTTAGTTAAACTGTGGTGCATGGTGAGTATAGCGTAGAAAACTGAAGCCTATTGAATAATTTGTTTATTGCTACAGTTGTGTTGTACCACAGCAACAATATAACTACTACGATAGTTTCATTAAAAAAAATTCTATAGTATGCTTCCAAACGCTGTAGTATTTTTTTATGTAACTTGCTTATACAGTATATACCGCAACAATGACAGGCAAAAATATTTTAGTTTAGTTGAAAACTTGCTCTATTCAGGATACAAGGATCATGTCCAACGTATGTGGTCATTTTCTGTTCATATCTCTCTTGAAGTACGGTATAAATCTCAAAAATACAGACATTCCTCTGTCTCCTATTTAGTTTTTTTGTTTTTACTTCCTTCCCTTCATCTGAATTTCGTGCGTCACCAAAACCATGTGATTGAAAACAACCTATATCAGCTTAAGTATGTTGATGTCAATATCACAATCAAAAATCAAATGTACTCTTTCTACAAATTTCATCTAAACACTGCAGAAGTCATCTAAATTTAAATTGTTGCACTTTAATGCTGTTGTTAGAAGTGTATTTTTTTATATCCATTGGGAAACTTCCAGTGGCTTTTAAATAGAAAACTAAAAACACTTATAGGTGACGATAAGTCTTAATGTTTTAGTCACTGAGTCATCAGGTGCTTTCAAGCAATTGTTTTTTTTTTATATAGTTCTGAAAGTAGCCTGAAGTATCATATTTTTGTCATGTTCAAGGGTTTTGAAGGAACTAAATTAGTTCCTATGTCCCATTGTAAACTACCAATGTCATTGGGTGCTTAATTGTTATTGATTGGGTGAATGGATGCCATACAAAACACAGACATGGTTTAAAAAGTGTAATAAGTTGGCCAAATTGAATCTGTGCTGCCGAGCTCCATTTAATATACTACTTACTATCCAGGTCCTCTGAGGTGGTACAATAGGCTTCTCTTTCCATCAGAGCCCCAGCTCATCTTCATTGATGAGTGTTCATCTCATTCTTGTAAACGAATGTGAGGGCAGTTGAGATAATACGCTTGTCTCGGCCCAGATATTAATTTAATGTTAAATGATGGTGATTTAAATCATTTCAGCTCGTCTCATCAAATATTGTTTTCAGTAGAAGCTGTGCTATTTAATTGGCTAGTTGACTAAACCCACACATCCATATTAAATGTTTGTAAATATATATTAGAGTTTCTATAATAATTTCATTAATATTAAAGAATAATATTTAAATGTTGTTTAGATTTAGCATTTAATATTCTATATTTTGATTTTGTTAAAAAGCTGCACTTCCCCTCTCAGCTGGCATGCATTACTTTACAGTTTTTAGAGATGGTGCAAATGCAACTAGGAAGTGGGCTGATGGGGCAAATGGAATGCAGATTTCTATAATCACACTGGAGCATAGTTCCAATAATTTAGTTCCTTTAAATTACCTTTGCTAAACCCTCATCGTTCTGAATTGTTCTAAGCCATATTCAGGAAGGAAGCACTTGGCTATTATTAGTGGCTCACTGAATCATTGATTCACCTGAATCACAATAAATGCAGATTCATTGAGATGCAAAAAACTGCTGTTAGTTTAGGGAAATAGAGCAAAAGTGTTGCTATTCGAGTTATATCATTGAACTCTCATGTTATAAATAAAACAAACTTTTGTTTTGGTGGGGTTTAGCAATTGTCTAGTTTTGTGCTTTTGTTGTTGTTATGGTTTTGCTGTGAATTCCATATTTTGCACATCACAGAAATCATCGGGCCCTGCTTAGTATTTGTTGAAGAGAGTTGATTGTGTGGGTTAAAATGTTGTTCAAGTCTATTGAATAGATACAGTAACCGTTTCAGCTGATGGTATTGGATAAATACATGTATGCAAAACTGAAAACGGTATACCGGATTAACTAGTAAATCGTCCAGTCTTTTTATAAAGTCAACAGTCAAGTTAAAGTTGATTGAATGGTCTCTTTACTTGCTCAACTGGTACTGGGCTTTATTGTCATTGCATTTTGCTTTCACTGATCTTGTGTTTATGCTGTGTGAACATTTATTCAATGATGTATTATGTACATTGCTATTGTATTACTCATTTAATGTTTTTAACTGCTGATTTAAATGAGCTACTTGTTGGAGGGACGCTAGATTTAAAAACAATCAATGAGCAATAGTTTGCATTATATTGGATAAATATGATTTCCAGTAGGGCTGCAAGATTAATCAAATGTGGTTGTCATGAACATTTAGTCAGTAAAGCTGGTTCTGAAACTGATCAGTAGAACATTTTCAGCATATTCTTTCTAAGCCAGGGGTTTTCAAAGTGTGAGGCGCGCCTCCCCTGGGGGGCGCCAGAGCATGTCAGGGGAGGCGCGGGAAAAAAATATAATATAATAAAAATATAATTATTAAGTTTAATTATTATATGTATTTTTTATTATATTTAAACGTTTTAATTAAACAAAGAAAAAAAATAATACGTCAAATATAAGAAAACCTTTTTTACCCAGAAGGCCATAGCTGTGAATTCGCTTCTGTGAATACAGGTATATGCCTGCTAATACAATGGGACGGTTTCTGAGACCCACCCCGATTCAAAGCTGTAATGAAGCTCACGGCCCTTTGGCCGCCGGGAAGGAGGCGGAGAACCGAAGCAGTTTTAAAGTGATTTATTAATGACAGTGACGGCAGCTCCGTCTAAACCAAAACAAACGGACGGCAGATCCTCACGGAGACTGCCGTCAAACTGAAAGCAAAAGTAAAATATGTCCGGGTCCGGTCCTCCCTCGGCTTCCTCTGCCCTTGTTCCTCCTTTTATGATCCAGAGCTCCTTCCGTGGGATCTGAGGCAGGTGCGCACCGCAAGTGTATCCACTTACGCGGTGGCCTCACTCCGTTCCCACGGCGCTCGGCCACGCCCCCTAGCCACAAAAGCTTTCAAGTTCAGGGCTTAAACCCAAAAGACGACGATATGATGATCAGTATTTGAGTTTATGATTTATGTGGACAGGACCAGCTGATGAACCACAACCTTTATGTGTGGTTTGTCAAAATATTTTGGCTAATGACAGCATTAGACCCACTAAACTTCCACTATTTTGACTGGGATGGACAGTTCTTGGAACTGTTCTATTCATATTGAACCATCATCCTAGTTTTAAAAACGTTATATTAAAATACTTGTTATTACTCTGTAAATAATTGCACTTTCATGCAAATGATGATAAAAGTGAGTTAACAGTCTGACATCTGTCTGTGTCTTTATGTATATATATATATATATATGTGTGTGTGTGTGTGTGTGTGTGTGTGTGTGTGTGTGTGTGTGTGTGTGTGTGTGTGTGTGTGTGTGTGTGTGTGTGTTCGTGCGTGCGTGCGTGCGTGTTTGGGAGGAGGGGGGCGCCAATGGATAAGTTGTGTCAAAAGGGAGGCTCACTGTCTTAGACTTTGAAAAACCCTGTTCTAAGCTATTCATTTAATCTGGTGAAAGTCCCTGTTGTTAATATCACTGTATAAGCATTAAAAAAGTAATATTCTGCAGTCCTAGTCTTATTATGGTTAGCAATTGTAAATGAATAAATAAACAATTAAAGAATTGCAGTGACACAGTGGGTAGCACGTTCGCCTCGCAGCAAGAAGGTCGCTGGTTCGATCCTCGGCTCAGTGGCGTTTCTGTGTGGAGTTTGCATTCGCGTGGGTTTCCTCCGGGTACTCCGGTTTCCCCCACTGTCCAAAGACATGCGGTACAGGTGAATTGGGTAGGCTAAATTGTCCGTAGTGTATGAGTGTGTGTGTGTATGTGTGGATGTTTTCCAGAGATGGGTTGTGGCTGGAAGGGCATCCGCTGCGTAAAAAAACAAAACTTGCTGGATAAGTTGGCGGTTCATTCCGTTGTGGCGACCCCGGATTAATAAAGGGACTAAGCCGACAAGAAAATGAATGAATGAATATCATGAAATGCAATCATAAATCATCCATTATCATTTTCAACAAGTGATTTTTCCAAAGGCTCTTTAAATAATCTAAATAAACTAATGTCATTTTCTACAATTTGTCTTTTGCCATTTTAAACTATGTGCGTTTATGGACAAATGAACTGAGTCCAAAATGGCCTTGAGTTTGAGAATGCATAAAAATGAAGCTACCAAACTGCGAAGCTGTTATGCTCATTTCAAAGATGTTCACCAGACCTTGCCAAATCATTCTCTCTTAAATCTTCTCCTCATTAACATATTCATTTCTTGTTTTGAGCAGGCAGGCAGAGGCCCTGAAGGCTGACATGACAGGTATGTTACTATGTCCTTTAATGTATTTACTTTAAAATGTTTGTTAAAGTCTTTCTGATGGTGTGCTGTTTTAGACTGTCTTATAAATATCTCTATAATAACCATATATAAGAATAGAGATGGTCACAAGTTGCGCATATTACTCAAATTATTGATGTGATGTAAGGGCTTGCTTGGAGTCTATTGCTGTGTTTCATATTTGTCATCTTATCCCTGTCACTCTGGTAACCATGGCATTGAATGTGGTTACTAAGACGTGCAGATCTTTCTCTAAATGAGCTGAAAGGCGCTGTTAGACTCAGTCAGTCACGTTCTGCAGTGAGGTTGAATCATTAGCTGTTTAACATGTTCAACTCCACGTGTCATGCAGATTCTAAGCTTGGTGCCGCGGAGGTCTGGACGTCACGACAGGCTCTTCAGGACTTGTACCAGAAAATGCTGGTTACGGACCTGGAGTACGCCCTGGACAAGAAAGTTGAGCAAGATCTGTAAGATTACTAATGATGAAAGATTGCACAATGATTCTATGAATTTACATTAATCGTGTCTTGTCTGATTTTTGTGGTTTAATATTTGGTTGACCTTTATTTTGTCCCCAATATACTTGCATTTCAGCTGGAACCATGCTTTTAAGAATCAAATAACGACATTACAGAGTCAAGCTAAGAACAGGGCCAATCCCAATCGAAGTGAAGTACAGGCCAATCTCTCCCTGTTTCTTGAGGCAGCTAGTGGATTCTACACACAAGTAAGCTGAGTTATTGTATTGTTCATGATAGGGTTGTCAAAAGTATCGATTTTAGTACCAATTGGGACAGAAATTTTAAAATCGTCCATTTGCTGCTAACATTCATTGCTAAAGGTGCGATTTTCAAATCGCAAAAGCTGCTATTATTTTTTTTATTATTATTTATTTATCATTTTACAATATAACAAACAGCACAATTGACAAAAAGAAGATTCAGCATTAAGTGTAGCATCAGAGTATACAAATATAAAAACATGAACATCAACAAATCCAGTTTTTGTTCCTGGTAATTAACAGGAATCAAATAACGTCTTGTTAATAGTCACTGTGATAACAATGGGTATAATGTAGGCTCAGGTCTAAGGGTTAATAAAGGGTCCATAAAAATATTGCAGGTTTTTTAAAATATGTGTTTTGTTTTTTTAAGCTATGTGTTAAATATTCCAAATGTAGTGTGTCATTTATGATAATTTTAAATAATTCAAATGTTGGAGGGAGTTTCTGTTTCCAGTTTAACAGAATACATTTCCTAGATACAAAAGAGATTAGACCTATCCTTTTGGTAAAAAAAAAAAAAAAAGGTCTGATATCTCATTCAAGTCCACCCCAAAAATATATATTATAGGAGTCTTGAGATATTTCTTTCCCAGGACCATCACAGAGAACTCATGTACAGAATCCCAAAACTTATTTAGTTTTGTACTGTTCCAAAAATATGCGTAATGGTGCCCTTATGTTTCTTACATTTGTTACATAAAGGCGATGCACCGGTATATATCCTACTAAGGCGAACTGGGGTCAAATTTATTCTTTGTATAAATTTGTAATTTTGTTCAATTATTTTGTTACTTGAAAATAAAAAAGATATATGTTTGTATACAACTTCCAACTGATTATCATCAAAATTACAACCGAGGTGTTTTTCCCATACGTTTTTTAATGAGGTTAAAGAAGAATCAGCTTGGTCTCTTAAGATTGCATAAATCTAAGATATCTTTCCCTTCAACATTGGAGTAATCTCTAGAATGTTTTCTATTTTGGATAATTCCAGTGAAATATGACCCTTTGCAAAGAAATCATTTATCATGTGTCTAAGTTGTAGGTGCATGTAAAAATCTGCTATTATTTTGATAATCACTATCACAGCCCTTTCTACTAAGTCCGGGAACACAATGACCAATCACAGGCGTTTAAGAAATTGCTCGACAATGCCCAAAAAGCAAGTGGGATAATACATTTATTTAAAAATACATTCATTAAATTTTTATGAATGCTCATGTTATTCTGTATTTGAGTTTTGTTGGATACATTCTAAATGCTTTCTTTGAGCAGGTCAGATTAAATGTACAGTTAAAAAAATCTGACTGCTTCTATTACCGGACACAATTGTATTACAAATAATTAGGCCCACATGGAATCTGATTGAGAATCTAAATTATTTTGATTAATAGATGTATCATATGAGAGACTTGCTTTGTTTACAAAATATGTGGATCTAATTGAATTTGCATTTTAAACATTAAATAACAGTTGAAAGGTATTGTTTTTTTTCATATTTGAAGTTTTTAGTTATGATACTCTTAAAATCATTCTGCATAAATCCGCAGATTTTTTACAAAGTTCTCCACAGAAATAGCAAAAATGTCCACAGATTCTATCTGGCCCTACAAATAATATACAAATATAATGTATTCATAAATTATACATTTAAATGAAATAACTAATCTAAATATAAAGGTTTTTACAGTTTTATACATCTACATATACGATTTTATATCTACTTTATTTAGTTGATTTTAAAATACTGTAGTTATTTTCTTAATTTGTCATGAAACTGACAAACTTAAAAAATGGTTTTAAATAAACAGAAGCATAGTAAAGTGTACTTTGTGATAATGCTTCGTCTTTCTTAGGTGCTGTTAAAACCACCACATCAAACATGCAGCTCTTTTATGAAATTATAATAAATTGCATTTTAAATCGCAATTTGTAATCAGATAAATCGCAATTAGATTTTTTTCTCAAAATTGTGCAGCCCTAGACTGTATCAGATATGTTTTAATCCTGATTTTGTACCTATTATTGGACTATTACTGTTTTTTTAATATTTAACTTTTCTGTTGGGTTGATCTCAGGCTTTGTTGTATATTGTTCAAAATCTGAAATGTTCAAATGAAAAAGCACAGATACAGGGACACTGGAGCATTTCAAAATCATGTTGATTCATCAGCGGATTGTTCATATGTCAGCTTATAGACAGTTCAGCTGATCAACGTGGCTTAGAAACGCTCCAATGTCCTTGTATCTGAGTTTGCCCTTGATGACAGGCAGTGAAGAGTGGTAAAATGATGACGTTCTTAGCCATTCACAGTCATATCTGTTGAGCCTGTGAACACAATGGCTAATCAGTGGTGTTTAAGATCACGCTGAAATGTTAAAAGGAAATGAATGTTTTAAAAATGTCTATACTGATTGGTACCAAAGTCGATACTTTTCACAGCCCTACTTCTGCAGACTAAAACATACAGACTAGCACCATGTCACATGACTTTATGGAATGAGAAATTTTGAAGACTGTTAGACAAAACTTCTTTACTAAGAGCACTTTGGAGGTTTTAAAAAAATGAAGAAGTTGTTTATCACATACTGATACATGTACTCATAAATTTTGTCTAATTTTTGTAATGTTTTTTGTAAATACATGTTTATGTATTTTTTTATATCTCTTATTGAATTATGAAGTTATTGTGTAATGTGTTTTTTTTTCAATATAAATCTGGTCATGAAATAGACATAAGTTGGTGATGTAGCAATAAATAAAACAAACAAACATTACTGTTTGTTATGTTTGTCTGCTATTTGTTGTGTTCCGAATTATTGTTTTTCTTCAATCTGTACTGGCTTTTCTAAGACGGTCTTTTTCTGGATCTCAGCTGTTGCAGGAGCTGTGCACAGTGTTTAATGTGGACTTGCCTTGCCGTGTGAAGTCATCTCAGCTTGGCATCATCAGCAATAAACAGAGCAGCACCAGCGCCATCGTGAAGCCCCAGCCCAGCTCCTGTTCCTACATCTGCCAGCATTGTCTCGTCCATCTCGGAGATATTGGTAAACTCGCACAAGATATTTTTGCAGCTTTGTGGAAATCACTAGCAGCATGATATTATTTACATTAAAGTATTAAGAAGCAGTGTTGTTATGGTATTAAAATTTCACCAGTCAAATCCAAAAACTAAAAATGATATGAGTCTCTGTACTAGATTTGTACTATAGAAAAGCCCCAGTTCTGTGTAAATTAGTCTTTTGCATATTTATTTATGTAATAAAATTTCTAGATAAGTTAAACAAATTAGCTGATGCAATCAATAAAATTATAAATAAATAAACTATAAATCATTAATAAAATTTGAACACTAACATGAAGCACGAACAAGATGAAAAACAAGGAAACACTCAACCGCATAAGTGGTGGAAGGCATTATGCAAAATGTCAGGTTTTACAAGGTCAAGCACTGCAATTTCAGAGTCAGCCCAACCTTTTAATATGGTTAACTTGACTACATTTACTTGACTCAGGCATTTTCAAATTTGAGATTGATCTTCTGGTTAGTCACAGGATATGTTGAGTTTATTTTTTTTTTTCGCAAAGGAATTTTTAATGTGGTATTCCAAAACAATCATAACTATATATGGATGGATATACACTCACCGGCCACTTTTTTAGGTAAACCCTACCAGTCACAGGTTGGACCCCTATTGCCATCAGAACTACCTTAATCATGTGTGGCATAGATTCAACAAGCCACTGGAAATATTCATCTGAGATTTTGGTCCATATTGACATGATAATATCACACAGTAGCAGATTTATCGGGTGCACATCCATGATGCAAATCTCCCATTCCATCACATGGTGACTGTGGAGGCCATTTGAGTACAGTAAATTCATTGTCATGTTCAAGAAACCAGTTTGAGGTGGTCTGCGCTTTGTCATGGCACATTATCCTTTTATCCCGCCCACTCAATATTTTCTCTTTTCGGACCATTCTCTGTAAACCCTAGTGATGGTTGTGCGTGAAAATCCCAGTAGATTAGCAGTTTCTGAAATACTTGGACCAGCCCGTCTGGCACCAACAACCATGCCACGTTCAAAGTCACTTAAGCCTAGTTCACACTACAGGATTTTAAACATCAGCAGATCGCTGTGCCGTTCACACTACATGACTTGACTTTGTGTCTTTTAATCTCTGTGGTGTTCACACTACGCAACACTCTGTAAATGATCCACAAGAGGGGGGGTCACACACTACATGATCTGACAACAACTCATTCCCCATCAGCTCATTCAAGCTACCAAACCACAGCCAATGAAATTTTGAGGGAGGAGTCGTCAGAAAAAGCTGAACACTATTGGCTGCTTGTGTGCTGATGACGTCACTGACAGCGTTTCAAGCTTTAGAGAAAGCATTTAAAAACATCGTCAAATCAGCTGATTTATCAGCGGATTAATCACTTATCTGCAAGGTTTCAATATGAAATAAAACTAACATATACACCCTGCCGTTTTCTAACTATCAGTTTATTTCTTTCTGACCTTGTTATTTTTTTTATTACAAAACAGTAAAGAACTGAGCATTTCTGCCTTAAATTACCATATTGGTTAAAATGACTGCATGCATGTCTGATACTTTTCACTGTGACTTTAAATATGTGTGCATTTTTTTGCGTAGCAACTTCCTGCTAACATAAACAAAACTTTCTGATGGCAAAAACATCAATTTACTTCAGATATCTTTCAAAACAGCATATTCTGTGCTGTTAAATAGCTCCTATTTGAAAGTGAAAATGAAAGCCAAGACCTTTAAGTGTTTTAGTATCTTAACTACATATTTATAGGCTGTATTACCAAAAAAAGATTATATTTTTAGGGTAATGGTGTCATTAAATATGATGCCAGACATTCAAAGCTTAGTTTTAATATCTCAATAATAGCTTTGAATGTAAATATGTTGTGACAGTATGGCGTTTTATATGAGAACGGTCAGAATGAGCAGTATGGTAATTCTAATAGTTACAGAATTCTAGTTCCACTGTTAATATAGCCTACTCTCATGTCTGTACTAACGCAGAATGAAGTGAGTATACCGATGCCCTTCTGACCAATCACAGATGTTTCTGCTGAGCTCCTGAACACACAGGCATTCAGCTCATGCTGATATGCTCTCTCATTGGCTGCAGCTCGTCACTACATCTGACCACACTTGGGATTGAGTCGGCCGACTACTCTGGAATATTTAGCATGCTAAATGTTGGATTTTTGTCTGCGAAGTGTCGGCGACGCGTCAGCGAGGCTCGTTGATGCGTTGTTCAGTAGTTCACACATAAAGAGCGGCGAGCGCCGAGCACCCGCAGATTTCTTCCCGATCACAGCCCGATCTGTCGTTAACTGATCTGAGCTCGTTAACTTCCAAATCGGGCTCAAATCAGGCTTAAAATTCTTTAGTGTGAACTAGGCATTAAAGGTTCAAGAAACCCTCAAGTACTTTTTTTGAGATTTTAACAGAGTGTTAAGAAAAACAGTGTGTTAAGCATCAGTTAAGACAATGTTAGCACCTGTTAGCTGTAATTGTAGGAAAAACTGGATAATTTTGAGCTTTTGTCAGCTAACTTCAGCTTCCGGGTTTAAAATGATTTTTGGGGCGGGATCAAAATCTGCAACTGCAGTTTTTCATTATTATTTATAGTGGAGTTTCTTATCCTATGAGAAGAGCCGGCTTCTTATTTATTCATGACTGCTTTCCGAAAGCAAGGCAGACCTGCCAGTGCCAAGCTGTGAGATTCTACCTTAATGACTGGATCCACATCCGCATCCACAGACCCAAGGCACACAGTATTTAACCATTTATGAAGGGTCGTATGTGTTTGTTTTGATGATCCACGCATGTTTGTTGTGTGTTTTTACCCCCGATGCTGTCAGGGCCGATACAGCAAAGCTGTTTGTGTGCAGCAAGCATTTTTGTCGGGAGAGCAGTACGAGAATTGGAGAATGGCGGCCTTTGTCTTTTATAAGGAGTTCGTTTACAGACACATCACCGTGCTCCTGTGTTTGCCTAAATCCTCCAGATTACCAGCTGGGCTAATGGTTAAAATAGACAGGGCAAGAGACTTGCTGCACTGCATTCAGGCTCGGGGATTGAGGGAAAAGTCCTCATTTAGTGTTTATATAAACATGGTTATCTTTACAATTGTATAAATTGTGGTTGTGTGTATGAAATTACAAATGACAAATGTAGCAGGGCAATAAATTACTGTTTATTTCTTTGATTTATTCTTACTGTGTATTTTAACTTTGTAAACTATTAAATCATGGTTTGTGTCTCATTTTGTGAGCCGATGGACAACAGTTGTTCGCTCCCCGCCTTCTCCACTGCTTTGCTGGACATGCCCACTCCTGCCGCTGATCGCGGAGCTCCACTCCCATTATGATGCATTTTTTGAAACAATTCTGAGGTAGACTTGAACTGAAAGTGGGGGGTGTCATGGCCCTTTAAATCACCTTTCTTCCCCATTCTGATGCTCAGTTTGAACTGCAGCAGGTCAACTTGACCATGTCTACATGACTAAATGCATTGATTTGCTGCCATGTGATTGGCTGATTAGAAATTTGTTAACAAGCAGTTAGACAGGTGTACCTAATAAAGTGGCCGGTGAATGTATAATGATAATGAAAATTTATGTCTTTATTTACATTGTGTTGGTCATAATGCAATGATATGAGAAGAGCTCACAGAATGTGTATTGACTTCATTTTGTTTTTATTTAACTACCAACTTGGTATCAAAGTATTGGTATTTTTGGCAATATTTAGCATAAACGATTTGAAAGCCTTGAAATTGTGAATAATTAAGCAATTAATTGGCTGTCCCCCCCTTATTATGCAATTTACAGCACGTTATCGGAACCAAACCAGCCAGGCTGAGTCATACTACAGACATGCAGCTCAACTTGTTCCCTCAAATGGTTGGTATTTGTTTCTGCTTGTCGTACCATCCTCAAGTACACTGTTGCTGTTAGAATGAAAAAAACTAATGATCTAATATATATATATATATATATATATATTTTTTTTTTTTCTCAGGTCAACCTTACAATCAGCTGGCCATACTGGCCTCCTCCAAAGGAGACCACCTCACAACAATCTTCTACTACTGCAGGAGCATTGCTGTCAAATTCCCCTTTCCTGCTGCCTCCACCAACCTACAAAAAGCTCTTTCCAAGGCCCTTGAGAGGTCAGAATACATAATTGAAAAGCTTACATTTACATTCTCACATTATGGTGTGTATTTATTTGAAACTGGTGCTTAAATTGCCTTGCTTCTCTTTAACCTGCAGCCGTGATGAGGTCAAAACAAAATGGAGTGTGTCGGATTTCATTAAAGCCTTCATCAAGTTCCACGGCCATGTTTATCTCTGCAAAAGCCTGGATAAGCTGAACACCCTCAGAGAGAAACTAGAAGAACAGTTCCAGGTACAGCCAAAATCCCCAGCTGTAGCACTTCATCATAAAAAAATTTAGTTTGATTTTGCATAATACATTTTTTCCTGACTAATTTGTTCCACAGAGGCTGATTCTCCAGAAAGCCTTCAGCTCCCAGCAGCTGGTCCACATCACGGTGATCAACCTGTTTGAACTGCATCACCTCCGAGACTTGAGCAATGAAGCAGATGAGCACAGCTACAGCTCGGATGAGCAGATCAGCTGGATTCAACTCCTCGGCCTGTTCAGTATGTACAGCTCAGCACACTATTTTTTAAACCTGTCTGATGAGCATTTAAAACCTTTGATAAAATTGGCACTACCAAGTGTTACTACACTCCCAGTCAAAAGTTTGTAGTTTAATTTTTTTGTTTGAATTTTATTATTACTAAACTTTCATCTGTTGAATTGATGCAGTGAAAAAAGCAATATTCTGAAATATTAGCATTTTAAATGTTTGCTACTTCAGTATACTGTAAATAGTATATAGCATACTGTATAAAATCTCTCTCTATTTTGGCAAAACTGAATTTGTAGCTGTCTTTTCTTGATTTGACCAGCCTTTACCTGATCCTTCAGAAATTGTATGCTTATTTAGTACTAAAGAAACATTTTTCATCTTTATCAGTTGAAAACAGGTGCTATTCTTTCATTCAACATTTGTTTAAACAGATTTTTCTATGCAAAACAAATGGTTTTGGCCAAAAAATGTATTGTAATAAATATTTATCTCGGAGGAATTGAAAGCTATTTTTGATATATATATCCAGAAATTTTCAAACCAGACGATAACCTTATCAAATGCATAGAGCTAAATATACAAGCATTACATTTACCTATTGTTTAGAAAGAGCCATTTCAATTGTAAAAGGCCAACTGCTGCCTTAAAAAACTGATTTCATCCTATTGAAATGTAAAATATTGTCTTTTTTGTAAAAAGAAAAAAGGATAGCTCCCACAAAATGAAACAAACTTGAAACTAAGCCTCACAAGCATTATTTTGTGCAATATTGTGATGTTCTGATGGTCTTTCCCCAGTGTCTTTTCTGGGAGTGATGCTAAGTCGAGCTTTACTGAATAAGAACCGAGAGGAGATTATGGGAGAATGTCCACTGCCTGCCATTAAAGTATCTCTGGACTGGCTGAGGCTTCGACCCACTGTGTTTAATGAGAGTGCCATGGACAAGCGACAGTAGTAAGAAAACCTTTTTTTTCCCACCAAAATTAGAAATATTATTAATAAATAGTGGATGATTTAGTATTTTTGTGTTTGTATTAAGTGGGGAACCTATTGTCTCTTAAAAGGATGATTTACTGGATCTCAATTAACAATTTGTTTAGTCCCAACTAAAGAAAAACAAATAATTAGATTTGCTGATATTTTTATATATATATATATATATATATATATATACATATATATATATATATATATATATATATATATATATATACATATATATATATATATATATATATATATATATATATATATATATATGTGTGTATATATATATATATATATATATATATATATATATATATATATATATATATATATATATATATATATATATATATATATATATATATATATATATATATATATATATATATATATATATATATATTTTTTTTTTAATTAAACCATATTAATTCAGATCAGTTTTTGTTTTCATTGTGGAAAATAAATGAAAGTAAATTGTAAATAAATATTGGTTATCAGGAACATAAACATGTAAATAATCTTTATCATTGTATCAAGGATATTATATATCTGTAGCTCTAATCCCAGCAACAATATTCACAATACATTGCATGCAGTGTCCGTATTTTTTAATGATGACATTTGGTTCTGTGAGAGCCAAAAATTTGAGGCACTGAATACTGTTAAAATGACACATCTTTGGCATCTTGCAGCATCTGGCCATGGCTGGTGTCCATTCTGAACAGCTTTCAGCCTAAAGAGGAGGATGTGTCAAATGCATCAGGTAGTGAGCACTGCATTGCATGCTTTCTACTCAATTCTTTAGGTCATCGTGATGCACTGCACTTCTTCTTTTTTCCCCCGCTAACAGCCATGATTGTTTGTTTCACAGTGATTCCACTGCCTGAGGAGTTTGAATTGCAAGGCTTTCTTGCTCTTCGGCCTGCTTTGAGGTAAACCTTTTTGGTTTATAAATTATTGCTCATAATTGAACCTTTACACACACATCTATTTTAGCTGTGTTTGGTATCTTAAGGCTGTTCTTCAATGATTCCAGGATGCTAGACTTCTCGAAAGGGCATCAGGGTATAGTGATTGGCAAAGAGAGTCTGTTAATTCATGCCAGACACCAGAGACTCATCAGCTTGGGCAAGTGGGTGGCTGATAACCAACCTCGGTGAGCCATTCTTTCACTTGCATTTTGTACTCATGACTATTTTCATCTTTCTTGGACTTTGTTAAAGTCTGCCACCCTAATGAACAAACAAACCAAAAAATGCTGTAAACTGTAAAAATGTTAATGCTTGTCCTTGGTCATTTAAAATGATTTGTTTTTCGAATTGTATTATTTTAATTTTTTATTTATTTTTTTGCTTGAATCTGTTTTATTTTTTCCTTTTACCTGTGTTTACTCTGAGTTTAACTAATAAAAAAAAGCAATGTAGCTTTATTTCCATTAGCATTTATAGTTACAATTTTTCCTTCCTAGGGTATCCGCAGGGTCTTAATGTCTTAAATTTCAAAAGCAAAACATTATACCTCAATAAGTCTCAAAGTCTTAAATTCACTGAAATGTTGTGTTGTAAGTCTTAAATAATTTTAAATAGGTCTTAAGTTCCTATGTCCAACTAAAGCTACTCCATTGGGCCAACTCAGTTTTTTAAATGTTTGTATTTAAGCTTTTATAGCAAAGACGTATAATTCAATACAGCTGTTAGACATGTTTACAGGAAATTCTCCAAATGATATTCCCTAATCAGGGAAAGAAAACTAAAGTAACACTTTACACTTATTTTTAGCTAATTATTAACAAAAAAATGTATTATTAGTTATGAATTTAGTATTTTTAAGTCTAGGAATGTTTACAAAGTTGAAATTTTTCACAATTTATTTTTGTTTAGTTATTTTTGTCTTATTTTTTTAATGGGTTAGCTTTTATTTACCTAATTTATGTTGTTGTTTTTTCTTTTAATGGTTTTTTTTTCTTTTTTTTTGCATTATTTGAATAGACAAATATTGTGTGCAAGCCTTATCTTTTCAGACATGTATCAAGTCTTTTTAATTAGCTTTTTTAAATTTTCTAATCTGCTTTTTTCTTGCTTATATTATATGCATACATTTTTACATGATTACTTTTGCCACAAACAGGTTGATCCAGTGTCGCATGAGTGATGGCCTTGTGCTCTTCATCACTGACATCCCTGAGATAGTGGTGGAAGAGCCACAGGAAAAAGACACACCGGTCCTTCAGGAGTCCTCTAATGGCGAACAGACCCCTAACGAAAGCACCCATGGCCTGAAGTCAGTCCTCTCAGCCGGAAAGAACCAGAACAGTGGGCTGGATGGCAGCGAGAGGCCCGTGGTCACATTCAAAGAGAACATCAAACCTCGAGAGCAGAGCAGAGAGCAGAACCGGAACCAGAACCAGAGGGACACTGGGAAGGACAGAGCAGGATTTAATAAAGGAAATGGGGTACAAGGGAAGAATGAGCAGAAGAAAGAGGGCAAGAGGAAGAGCGAGGTGAAGAAAAACAGTCATGATAAAACAACAGATGCTGGGAAACAGGTTAGAGATTAACTTTTATTTAGATTTTATTTAGATGTGGGAATATTTAAACCCTCCTCTTACATTTTTTTTTCTTCATAGGTGAAGACTCAGACTGAGTTGAGAAAGACTCCAGTGTCTGAGGCGAGGAAGACTCCGGTCACACAGACTCAAACCACATGCTCTTCACAGTTTATACCCATCCACCACCCAGGAGCTTTCCCTCCTCTGCCGAGCAGACCAGGTATAGCTAAACGGTTTAGAAATGCCTCTTCTGAACATAAGGAAACAAGGAACAAAGGAACTTATTATACCCTTTTACAAGATGCTAAATTATTCTTGGGTGTCTGTGTAGTATCTGTGAAGTTTCTAAAAACCCCTTAGATTATCATCATGCTAAATGCTAAAATGTGATTTGTGGGGCGTGCACAAGAGGGTGTAGCATATGCTTTGTAACTACAGCAATAAACAGACAGTAAAAGCGTTATTAGTGAGAGAACTGGTGTTTAGCAATACATGTATGAAAAGAGTCTGGCTTGCATTGCTTCTCATTCACAAAGACTTTTAAATTCTGTTTTACGTCCAAATCACACCACAAAATACTTAGGAGACATTGCTGCTGATCAAGCTGCTCGAGCATAGAAAAAATGTGAGACAGCGTACTGTACAACCATATACAAATTCATGTTAATAAAGCAATGCTGTCAGTCATCAGCAATGAATGGGAGCTTAGCAATATGACGTCATCTTGCTTTAGAATTAAAACCGCATGCTTGATTGGGTAAAACATTGGTGGGTTTTTTCAGCTTAGTGTGTGGTTGGTTATGTTATTTTATTGATATATTATAATATAATGTAATGTGACATAAGCTTTAATAAGCTTTTTATCTATCACAACACAAAAAAACGCACCCTTCTCAGTTTTTTTTTTACATTAATATACATTCTTTTTTTATTATTCTTATCTCTTTCAGGTTTTCCCCCACCAGCATATGTGATCCCTCCTCCTGTGGCGTTCTCCATGAGCCCAGGCTTCACCTTCCCTACGGGTGTATCTGTACCTGCACCCTTTCTTCAGACCGCTTCTCATCCTCAGTCTGCCAATCCTGTCCAGACTGGAAAACCCTCACACATTCCCTACAGCCAGCAGAGGCCCTCAGGCCCTGTAGCCCTAAACCAGGGCCCTCCCCAGCCTCAGCAGACCCAGCCTCCCCCTCCACAAACATCCCAACAGGCTCTGCAACAATCTGTGCAGCTCCAACTACAGCAGCAGCAGCAACAACAACAGCAGCAGCAGCAGCAGCAGCAGCAGTCACCCACCAAGCAGAGCTCTCAGCTCGGGAAAAGCCCTCCTCATCATCACAGCATGCAGCAGGTAAGGTTTATTTGTGGTATTACACTATTTTATTAATTGCTTAATGTTATATTTCATATTTAACTCACAGTACAACAGTAATGTTATGGTATGTTTCTTATTTTGGTTAATATCAAATTAGCATTTCTTCTAATTCTAGTTTTGCATCACAGTGATGGTGGATTGGTGGTGTTTGACAGGGTGGGCTGAAGAGCGAGAAGGGATGCGATGGGGAGGGGTGAGAAGGGTGCGCGATGCATTTGAGGCCCGGGAGGGAAACTTGCCTTTTCCGCGAGATTATCACTTGTTTGCTGGCATCCGGGAGTCTCTGTGCATTTGCAGGAGACTCCCAGAACTTCCATGAGATTTGGGATGTCTGGTATGACCTTCCGCCCTACTCCTAATTCTCTCTTCATATAGCCGTATGCCTATTACATATCCATTAAACACTGTTATATAGCCGTGCTTTCTTACTACAATCGATCCGCTCCAGAGTTCGTTTTAATCGAGCCGAGACCACCTCATTCAGGTGATGTCGGACAGATTGTTTTGGCACGGATCCGAGCGTGATTGCTGGATTCACATATGCCAAACAAACCGCGCTAACTGGCCAAACGAGACAGGTTCCTGAAACAAATATCTAGGTGTGAAAGCACCCTAATATCTCAAGCATACAAATGTCAGACAGCAACTAGGCTGTTTAGAGCTGACCCCAGACCTGTGAAAGGATCCACAATTGAATAGAACACACACACACATACAAAGAACAATCTGTTTTTTACCCAAGGCTGTACTCTCAACCATCTTTATCAGAACTGGTTAAAAAAACTATATAATCTGCATCCAAACTAGCAGCTTAAATACAAAGGAATTAACTTTAAAAGATTTAAGACTTAAAATGGCAAATATCACTTTAGACATAATTAACACATTAGCAAATTACAATATGAACAGTTGTTTCCAATTCTTCAAGTGTCCAGGTCCACTCAAGAGGTCTTCATGACCCTGTGACCTGGCTGGGTAAAAGCATAAAGCATTAAAAGAAAAGCAACCACAGACACATTACTCCAGTTTTACTCTGAAGTGGGATGACATTAAGGTCATCATAAAATCTAGGCTCTTAATTCAACTTTATTAATAATCATAAAGACATAAGAAAGGACATGTGTTACTCCATCCTGGAGCAGACATCCATCAGAAAATCCATGCCATCGTACTTTAATGAACTAACCATGCCATTTTTTTTATTGCTTTTATTTTGTCCATTTTATTTTCTCTCGTGGTGCTGAGGTTCAATATCTGTTTTCTGGTTTCCTTGACAAGTCCGATTACCATGGAGACCACTTAGAAACATGGATCCTGCTGACCTTGTTTAGTAATCACTCTTCTTTTCTGCATTTATTTTTGTCTTTGCAGTCTTACATGCAGGTGCCTGAGCAGCCTGGCCAAATGTGGAACCAGCACCAAAATCAGCCCGGCATGCAGAAAATGCCCATGCAGATGCCAGTCAAACAGCCTTTCTTCATGCCCACCCAGGACCCAATGAAGCTCTTTGAACACCCTATGAGCATGCAGCCCCAACAGCCCAGCATGGATAAGAAGATGAAGTTTCCAGAGGTCAAAGTGCAGGATTTCTACTGGGACCCCCCTTACCACATGGCAGGAGAGGGAAGGAGCACAATGGCGGACCGAATGGGCAAACGTCAGCCTGGAGTCTTTTGCTCTGACCAGGAGAACATGCCCAGAGGCCCTCCATATGAAGTAAGCATTTTTTGGTTTAATCTATTACCGCAACTGTTTTATATGCTACAAATGTTCAGGTTAAGAAATTTGCCTTTTCCCTAATGAAATCTAATGATTTTATTTATGATTATTATTACATTTATTTTTATTAACTTGATTTTTGGCAGTCTGAAACTGATAAATATCTTAAATGGATAGTTAACACATGATAAATATTTTGTCCTCTTTTAACTCATCCTTCACTCACCCCCCACCCAAATTATGTTTAACAGAGCAACGACATGTTCACAGTACGTCTGATAATATTTTTTCTTCTGGAGAAAGTCTTATTTGTTTTATTTCAGCTAGAATCAAAGCAGTTTTTAAAATTTTTAAACACCATTTTAAGGTCAATATTATTAGCCTTTTTTTTTTCATAAATTTCTTTTTTTTTGAAATTTTTTTTTCAATAGTCTACAGAACAAACCATCGTTATTAAATGACTTGCCTAATTACCCCAACCTGCCTAGTTAATCTAATTAACCTAGTTAAGCCTTTAAATGTCACTTTAAGCTGTATAGAAGTGTCTTGAAGAATATCTAGTAAAATATTATTTACTGTCATCATGACAAATTTTAAATAAATCAGTTATTAGAAATGAGTTAAAACTTTTATGTTCAGAAATGTGTTGGAAAAAGTATTCTTCCCGTTAAACAGGAATTGGGGAAAAAAACAAACAAACGGAGGCTTATAAGTCGGGGGGCTAATAATTCTGACTTCAACTTTATCTTCTTTTGGCATCAACAGAAAAAAGGAAGCCAAAGTGATTTGGAACAAGTAAACTATCCCTTTAAACAAATGTAGATTTAACATGCTTAATTTATAGTTTTCATTAATTTAAAACACATGACTTTGAAAATGCATCCTAATTTTCCTACTTATAATATGTATACTTCAGAGTAGGGATGCACCGATCCCGATACTTGGATTCGGATATTGGTCGATAATGCATATTTTTACTGGATCAGGTATCGGGCAGCTGGTACTGATCCAAATACGATCTTGCGTGCACACTATAATTTGTGTAATTTATAAGTCAACAAAAGCCAACTTTCTCTTAGACTATTTTTTCCTGTTAATATCAGTAATCATTGGAGAAATGCATTTAGTTTTGCATTAAATGGGTTCATTTTGACTTGCAACAAGAAATTCATTGCTGTTTCTAAATCATGTTGCACTGTGTCTGTTAGATCAGCCGATCACATTCGCAACACTGGAGTAGAAAGGGTTAGGCCAACCTGAAATTTTAAATTAGAAAAGGCTCAATAAGACATTGAACAGATCCTCAATGCACTAATATTTTTTTTGCTGCTAAGTTTTGTTTTAAAAGTGTCATCAAAAACCTGAGGGCTGCGCGCTGTGTCTCAGTGATGTCTCCGCTTCATTCACGCACCGGCTGCGCAGACCCACGTGTGCTGCTTTGTAAGATTAATATCAAAAGTTTCTATTCTCACATCTGATTAACAGACAATTATTTAGCCTAATATAGGCTATTCTGAAACTGTGATTATTTCACTGTAGTTTTATTCATATCAATATTTTACTTAACAGACCAGTTTGTGTTTTGATTAGTGTCAATACTGAGAGCCTATTACAAATTGCAAAACAAATCTTAATATTAAAAAAAGAAACTTAAGCTGAACCACAACAGATCAATGCCATAGTGAATGCTCAAATAATGTAGCCTAGTTTACAATAAGCATCATGTTTTTAGTTAGATTGTGTGGTCTGTCATATAGACCTATACGTCTTTTCTTTTTACTAAAGAAAATATATTATTTTTAAGTTTATCACAAGAAACTGTAGTATGTTTAAAAAAAAAAACAGCATAGTATCAGGATCGGATCTGTATCCGTTGATACTCAGAATTTTGGTATCACATCAGTTCTAAAAAATGGTATCGGTGCATCCCTACTTCAGAGTATGTAGTTGGCATTGAATCATCATCCAAAATGCAATACAAGCCATTAGAGTGTCCAAGGATCTGCACTTTTGAGTTTTTACCAGAAATAGTAGACCACCACCTGGGTTACTTTGGAATGCTCATTTCAACATACTGGGATTAGGGACAAACTAATTTTCCTTTGGACACATAATATGGAAACTGGGACTCCGCAATGCAGTGTAGTTTATTAATGTTTAAAACATTTATTGTTTCATAATTCTGTTTCGCATTATGTATTATAACTGCACTGCATGGCACCGTGTTCCCTAAACAGTAGGCAAGTGTTTCATTCCACACACGTCCTCAGCCCCTGTTATGTCAGTCAGTTCATTCCACTTTACCTTCTGTAAGCTTTGTCTTGACTCTGTGATTTATCACACGTTTTCCAGTGTAAGCTTAGCATCATTTACAGCTACAATGGTCTCTGCAGTTATTGAGATCTGCATGCTTTCTGATATTTCATCTCTTATTTCACATTTCCATCTTTATCTAAGTCTACCGTGATGGATTCTTTGATGCATTTAAGTGTTGCTTTACATTTATCACGTACTGTTCAGCAGAAGTCATGTTGAGAATGGCACTGATCTTTACAGTCTGCTGTTTTTCCCTCAGAAACCTCTGAAAAACCGCTTCCTATTTTCTTACATCCTGTTTCTCTCATCCCTTTTTTTCCCTCCCTCTCTCTCTCTCTCTCTCTCTTTCTCTTTCTTCTTCTCTCTCTCTCTATCTCTCTCTGTTCTTCCCCTTTGTGCTTCGTCTCTCACTAGGACAACAAGAGCTCCCCTCTTCTGCCCCCAGACCTGTTAAAAACTCTGGCGGATTTTGAGGAGGAGGAGGAGCTGCTCTTTACTAAACCTCATGATTTCTACCAGGCCTTGGCTGGTCCTCTTAATTCTGCTCCTGGAAGGAACATGTTTGTATGTAGACCTCCTCCTATCATGTCGTCAGACAGGAGTGGATAGAGCATTTCCAGAAAGCCTTTTGTGGATGAAAAACACTCAATCAGTTTAAATTTTTCAAGTTGTTCAACTGAGCAAAGACATTTTCACAGTATTACCTAGAATGTTTTAGTTTGTCTGGAATAAAAGCAGTTGTCAAATATTTAAATAGTTTTTAGGATCAATATTATTAGCCCTCATCCAGTTTTTAATTGGATATATAAAAAAGCATTGTTGTCCATAGGGTTGGGCGATGTCGACCAGTTTGGTATCGTACAATGTCTAACGTGAAACATCGTGATGGACGATGGCATCGTCGTCATTGGTGGCTGTAAATTAACCAAGTTTCAACTACCTGATCCGCATGGTCTTTGTTTTACCCATATTCAAATCATAAATAAATAATGTTAAGTTACACACAAATTACCTCCTGTCAGTCACTTTTTGTGCTGCGCTCTGGCATGAATAGGCAAAGTGATCGGTGTTTTTATAATGGCATCGACGAACTTGGTTGGTAAAAAAGTGCACAACCAACATGATCCAACCAACAGTATCTGAGGTTTTTGCTAAAATTACTAGGTACAAGCGTAAAAGCAAAAGATTGAAGCAGTGTACTGACGCTGTGACACGTTACCTGATAAACTTAAATGACCAAAGAGTGATTATATAGAGACAAAATTAATTAAATATCACGTTTAACAACCATAGTGAGTCGCGATACAGCAGTACATCCTTCATAAATTATCCAATGTGGACTGATCTCTGGGGTTTTGTGCTCAAAGCAGCCGCTAACTGCCTGGAGCTCAGATGTGCGTCCGTGTGTGTGGTCACGTGATGTGCTTTTTCAGGAGCATAGTGTGGATGCAGAGCTGTTCAGAAATGCTAGATGAAACACCAATGTGGACATAGATTGTTTTTGTTCTAAAATGCCATTTTAAAACTAACACGTATTACTGTAAATGGGACCTAAGTGTGTATTTGTCGTGAGCGGGTGGGGCAGAGGATCGAAATGCCGGCTTAGCATTATGATGTCTATTACCTAGTTATACTTTTAATTGCAATTTTAGCTAAATAATAAAATAACTAGTTGAATAAAGACAAAATAATGTTATTAAAACTATTTTGTTCAAAAAATGTGTTTAAAATCTTCTCTGTGTTAAACAGCAATTTAAAAACATCATGAATGAATACATGAAAAATCCACTGCCTTCAGCTGTAGATAGTCCTAGCCATTTAATTATTGCACTTTTCCACTTATGAGAATAAGTCAAAACTAATCAAGGAAATTACATCAATGGGATGCACACAACTTAATTGGATGCTTTTTAAAGAAAGATACCTTTAGGTCTTAAATGGTTTTATGATAATGGGAATTGTATTCTAATGTGTCTAAGCTTTAGATTGTGTAGTGCACTATATATACTGTATGTATTGATTGGTTCTCTGTAAATGTAATTCTAGTACTGTGGTCTGCTTTGAGTTGTTGGAATATACATGCGTTTTGCAGATTACTTATAATTGTGCTTCTGTCTCTCTGTAGTTGCCAAATCAGTCTCGGCTTGACAGTGGAGCTGATGTGATTGGTCAGTCCTCCCTTCTTCCTCGATTTTCCATTCAGGTAAGCATGCATCTCTTTGTATCAACTTGCTCTTTAGGCCCTCCTTGCATGAACGATTGAAAGTCACTAGGTGGCAGTGCTGTCCTACAAAACGAGATTGGATTATATTTTTTGCTTTGCTGGATGTTGTATACCTGGATTTGACAGCAAATGCAATTAAGTTGTTTACACTGACAGGTAGACTTTTAGGTAGAAGTTTGAATCAGACCTGCGTTTATTTCCTTATACTGTTCTCTCTTTTTGTTCTGTCTTCACTGAATCTATCAAAATAAGGCTGATAAACAAATCAAAACAATGATGAAACAATATTTATGTTTGCTGCTGTTTTACAGGATAACTCCTACCAGAACAACAGCATTTTTAGTGAGGCCTACGGTAAAAACATGACACCTTCATCTAAGCCGGATGCACCCATGATGCATCAGGAGCCCTCACTCTATTCCCTGTTTGAAGGAAATCCCTGGTCTCCCTCCCTTCCTGCCAGCTCAGGTACCAATATTGAGATCTGTGATGTCTAAAGCATGTGAGAAGCATGATTTTTTAAATCATTTCTACCTATGATTTGTTATTGTAGATCACTCAACCCCAGCAAGCCAGTCCCCTCACTCCTCCAATCCCAGCAGTCTGCCTTCATCCCCACCCACCCACAGCCATGGCTCCATGCCCTTCTCCAACTTTGGCCCCATCGGGACGCCAGACAGCAGAGACCGCCGAGCAAATGATCGCTGGAAGGCTGAGAAGACTGGTAATGATGCTGAGCACGCTGTTGTGGTTCTGTTAACAAATAGTAAGGGTACAGTAAATAAATTAAAAGGATTTCATAAATATACATCCTAAAATACCTGGTCTTGATCTAAATGTTAAGTGACTCGCATTATATCCTGTACCTATTCCGATTATTCAAGCATTGTGAACTGAATATGGAACAGAATTTTTTTTTCAATTATCTTAATTATTAATTTTTATTCTGTAAAATTCACTTAAATGCATCAGCTGTTGTAAAAAATGAAGTAGTCTCATTGAATGTAGGTATTCTTATTCAGAAATTTAAAAAAAATGTTTTTTTCATTTTGTTGAAATGCTTATGTATTATTTGTTCAGGTGTGAGTGGCTTTGGGCTGGATTACCTGCCTTCTGCCTCGACCTCGTCTGTTCCAGAGACCAACAGCTGGCACCAGGGGGCGCCAACCAGCACCTGGGCAGCCCAGGACATGCCAATGGAGGACTCCTCTACTGTCCTACTTGACAGTTTCAAGGTAGCACAGAATGTTCTGTGTAATACATTATGTTGGACTTCTTAATTTTAACCAACAATGACCTTACAAAAAAAGACAAATGCCATATAATTCAAGTGTTCTAGGGATAAATACTAGGTTTAGTGATAAAACAAACTGTATCTTAATGCAATTTTTTTAAAATGAAAATGCTGACCTTTTATAGTTTGTCTTGATTCCTTATTCAATTCAATTCATCTTTATTTCTATAGCGCTTTTACAATGTAGATTGTGTCAAAGCAGCTTCACATAGATTGTAGTAAATTGAAACCGTGTCAGTCCAGTTTTCAGTGTTTAAGTTCACTTTAGTTCAGTTCAGTGTGGTTTAATATTCACTGCTGAGAGTTCGAACACTGAAGAGTTTACTCAGAAAAACTAAAAACGACTGTAGATCCTTCCCTCAGTTAAACCCAAGGATTTTCAAACCTGTTCTCTTTACTGCATATGTAATATGTTTTCATAATGAGAAAGCTCTGCTAATGAACTGGCGATTTGAATCGTGTGTGCTAGATAAGAAAAAAAAATAAAGGCCCCATCTGAAATTGCCTCCTATACCCTTAAATAGTGCACTATTTGAGAGAGCAGCCGTTTGTAGTAGTGTTTTGAAAACATGGTGGATTTACACTCAATCGCTCTCACAGTGCACTGCAATAACGATTGTAAGGCAAGGCAAGTTTGTTTATATAGCACATTTCATACACAGTGGCAATTCAAAGTGCTTTCATAAATAAATAATTTTAGATGTTAAATTAACAGTTGTATACTGGACAGAAATCAAAATACTTAGTTTCATTACTATTTATAATTATTTATGTATTTATTTCACTGGAAACCCCAATGCATTTGTTTAAGTGTTTTAGCAGCATTGCTGATTCTCAACCGGTCCACGGGAGGTTTGACGTAAAATGAAAAAAAAAAAACATATACACTATTATAAACATTAAAACGCATAATAAACACATAAGCATTATAATTCTTTACATAAAATTGCTGTAAGGCAAAGGCAGCATGATCAACAAACTAATAGTAAACTATTAGCTTAAGCACTGCTATTTTGTTTTTAACTACTTTTTAAATACACTACTAAAAACATTTATATTACTTTTTAATTTTAGGATAACGGGTAAATCATTTCTCAATTTGCTTACCTTAACAGAGAAAACAGATAGAACTGAATAGGTCTTACACTTTTTTAACAAGACAGGCATTATTAGCAGTTGCTCGTGTGACTCTGTGAGAGGTTTAATGCTTACTGATTTGATCAGAAAACAGCATTGCAACATGATAACTTAAACATTTAAAAATAATTTAAGATAATTAAATTTAATAAAACTATTAAAACTAAAAAAGTTATGTTTACATAAAACCTCAATCATCCCATCGCATTAGCTTCAAGTCCATAATTTTAATAGGTCTAATAGATTTATTAGGTATAATAAGTCATGTTTCCAGCTCACTGAGTGTTAAATACCTGTAACCCACCGGTCCTACTGCACCCATCTCATTCTGAGGTAGGATCAAACCAGCAATTCTTTGTATGACAGTCGGTTGCTAACAAGGAAGCTAAAAATCCAAAGCCTCTAGCGTCTGTCAGTGAGGGAAGTCTACCTGCACGGCACCTCCATTACACCCACCCCCATAAACCTCTACCCATCCTGGACGAGCCCCCACATGCACATAGTGCTCAAATTCACAAGTTTTATTTCACTCCATTAACTGGATTATATTAGTAGACTAAAGTAGGGAATGTAGTGAATGAGGGTATAGGCCTGATTTTGGGATACATACCAAATGCATAAATACCACTTGAATCTTGGAAATATATGAACATGAAATAATTTTATATATATATATATATATATATATATATATATATATATATATATATATATATATATATATATATATATATATATATATTTTTTTTTTTTTTTTTTTTTTTTTTTTTTTGCTTAATGTTGAACCCTAATAGCCATTACACTGACAAGTACAAGCAAGACCCTTTTTCTTTTGGGGCATGAAAGTAGGGAGTACACAATTGGAGCAACACTGTTTTTATTCTTTGATTTCTGCACAAACTTTGCTTACATTTTTTCCCCCTCCTCTTTTTTTTGTAGTCAATCTGGTCGAGCTCCATGATGCAGCCTGGTCCGTCTGCGCTGGAGCAGCTCCTGATGCAGCAGAAACAGAAGCAACAGCGCGGACACGGCAACATGAACCCGCCACACTGAGAGTCCACAGGGTAGATGCACTTGTGTGAAACATGATTCAACAGAAGAGGTGAAAAACCACAAGCTCCAATCGGAAATTTTTCCGGCATTACCTGCGCGCGGAGACTGGAGACGGTGACCGATGCGAAGCGACAGGCTCAAAACGAACCGCTCGCCTGACCGAAGAGGGACGTGTGCAGCCCTCTCCTCTCCTCTATCTCTCTCACTCACTCTGTCTCTGTCCCTGTGAGGGCGTACAAGCACGTAGCCGCTGCCGAACACTGACTCTGAGGGGCTGCATCTCTCTCTGATTGCCACCTCGCTTCCTTTGGGGGTCTAAGGTTCATTCTCCTGTCTCATCTGGACTTAAGACTCTGGACTAGATGCCCTCATGCCACCTGCTTACATTGCGACCGGCGCATGGAGGGGTTGGGTGCGTGCGCGTCGGGATGTTTATCGACGACAGACGTGGTATTACGATGGACAAAAAAAAAAAAGAAAACGAAGGAAGGACTGGTTTTGCGTTGTCTCCAAGTCTCACTTTCTCAGAGGGATTCGTGTCACTGTTTAGAATTGGGAGAAAAAAAATGAAGCAGACGAATGAAGGATGACGATGTGATCGGCATTAACTATGCGAATATGCGCTCCAATATTAGGATTTAGATTGACGCAGGCATGGATCATGGTGGCGTTGATGTACAGTCTTTCGACTTTGTAAGAAAAGTTCGGTAAACAGGACAGATAAAAGTTCGAACCATTATGAAGCTCCTAGCGACATTATAGCTCAATCAGTATCAAGCGGAGTTGGAGGTTAGACTATAGATGTAGGATGTAGTATCATTAGCTGCAATAGAGACTGCAATTATTAACAATACTGTATTTTGTGACTTGTTCTGTAGCAGTTTTAGCTCTCTGAATTATTATTCGGTAAATATGTTCGATAGTTTACTGCTAACGGGGGAGTTCATTCGATATAAATGTGTGCCTCCCCTTCTCCCTCCTCCTCCTCCTCTCCTTGTTTCTTTATTCTCCTGCTTAAAAGCATAATGGCTTCTTTCGTTCATGTTCTGCCTTTTTATTAATAGTTTTAAGCTTTATTCGCTCTCTTTGTGCCTGGTCTGTGTTTTCTCTCTTCCTTTTTGTTGTTCTTTCTCTATTTTTGTTTTAAGGAATCGTTAGCATCGCAATCACGGTTGGTACTGTAGGGAAGATTGAGGAAAACGAGGCGACCGGGTCCAGCAGCGACTGCTTGATGGTAAAGAAAGGGAAGCCTGTTTTTCCTAAAGCAAAGCAAAGCAAGCTCACAGACACTGAATTTACTTCCAGGTACCAGTTCCACTGTATTCTATATTAACAACGTACCTTCGAAAGGATGCTTTCCCAAGCACCCGTTACGCTCAAAGCACTAAAAAAGAAAAAGAAAAAAGAAAAAAAAAAGAGGAAGAACGCTAGCCCGATTACTGCTTTACTCTGAAAACCTATATCGATGGTTGCATCAGGATAGTGTCATGTGACTTATTTTTTACAGTCACATTATCAGATCCCCTGCTTGCAGCCTTTTTTCTCTTCAAGGTCATATTGATTTGACAACTAACGGTTCTCTTTGAGTAGAGGATATATATAGCACTGAGTAGGCCTTGTTTGGGTGCCACTGTTTGCTAGAGATGTTCTGGGGCCAGGGGTTACTGTTGGATTAGTTGAAGTATCTATAAAGGTGGTTTCGTTCGACGAAGGTTATACGAAAGACGTACTCTGTCTTGTATGATGAGAATAAAGCGTGTTTTTATTTTTGAGTAGAGAACATTTTATTAAAGACGAACTTTAAATAATGTGTCTATTTGCCGTGTGATTGTGCTTCTCTTGTTGCATTTAAAATCGTATAAAAAATAGAGGAATAAATAATTACATGGAACCTTAAAGGATGAGTTTGGTTGGGAAAGAAACTGTTCTGAGGGAACTGCGTATCCTGTTCTGTTCATCTTTTGTTTTAGAATCGTTTAGCAAGGAGTTTCAGAAGCCTGTGCTCTGATTGGTTGCTGTGGACGCATTGACATTCTTTTATTTTGGACGGACCTGTGGTGGTCTTGTGTGAATGTGCTTTTTTTTTCCAAACCCTGCATTGTAAAATGTGGATTCCCCCCCTGTTGTCCTTTATCCATCTTTTAATTGTGGCTTCCGTAGTGATGTACATTACAATGCTGATCACAGGACAACAGCCTTGCGCCTTTGGGTCGTAATAATAACATTCCAATAGCTAAAAAATAACAGCCAGCTTTTTACAGTCGATTTAGTTACCACTAAGAAGGTTTGTCCCAATCTTAAATTCAGTCTGCCACTCCTGAAATTTTGCATGAAATCCATCTTTCAGAATGCCTTGTATTTTGGATGAGGGAGATATCCAGTCAAGCTTTTTTTGTTTTGTTTTTTAGAGTATTTTGTCAGGGAATAGTTGGGGGTGAGGATATCTCCTTCTATAATGGGCTTGATTTATTGTGTTCTTGTCTCTTCGTGGACACTTGTAAACGCTGGAATCAGCTATGCCTTTAATAAAATAAACGTCCTCATATGCAGACTTGGAAGTCTTTTCTGTTCTTCATACATTGGGTTGTCTCTCATTCCTTCTTTTTGACCTCATTCATGGACGTATTCACCTTGATTGATCAACATCAGGACACCAGTGACCTACAGCATTAAGGGTGCGATGAAAATTATTTTGTCTAACATTGATCAAATGTTTAGAATCGCTTCTGTATTCAAATTATGCCCCCACTGCACAAACTCTGAATAGAAAAAAAAGCACTGATAGGCGCACATACGCATGCTGCCAAATTTGCTTCATTTAGACGAGGGGCCTGTTTCAGAAAGGAGGTTAAGTGAAAACTCAGAGTATTTTAACCCTGAAATGAGAGAAACTCTGGGTTTTCCATTTCAAAATGGCAGGTTTGTTAAAGGTAACTTTAACTTAGAGTCAGTTACTGTGGTAACTTACTCAGTGAATCTAACCTGGTCCAGAGCAGGTTTTATTCTCTAAACTCTGAATTTCTGTCAGTCTCCTCCCCTTTTTTAAAGATGAAGCATATTTCTCGCATTAGCCTTACGTTTCTACACACCTATTTTAAAGCTCATTTTGGAGATGCCAATAAAAACGATTGATGGAAACGTCATGATTCACATAACTTTTGAAAATATACGCATAATAAAACATGTGCATAACTGAGTAGGTTAAACTTTTATTTGATAAGATGCACATAAACTACATACTGTAAAGTGCACTTAACAAATTACAGTATGTACATTAAAAAAAAGGTTTGTTAGAGATGATGATGAAAATGTGTGTGAATGGACAAACCAGCAGACTGAGCACACTGCAGAACATCTTAAATGTTGTTTTAGTCATTCTAAACTGCCTTAACTGTTTCAGTATTAGTGTATATTATTAATTACCTCCGAGCGTCTGGAGCGTGTAAAGATCTCCGCATCTGGCTTCAAACGCCCCCACGTGTTCATTGTGTGTCAATTGTCTCCTGAGGCGCAAGTACATTAATTAAATAAAAAATCATTGACGCAGCGTACTCTACCGCAGTAAATTCTGTTTTTACTGTTGATATTTGGCGCAATTTAATCAGGAAGTGACGATTTTGTTCTCTTCGACTCTTTGGATAAAAACGCTGCTTTATTTTTAGGCGTTATTCCAGTTTTGCACAAATTTATGTAATAGCATCACACAGAACAAAGTCACGTACGAGGCTTGTCCTTTTTTTTCATAAATAATTAGCTTAACTTTCGACATGCACTGTTACTAGATTAATGGGATTATTATTCTGTCTAAAAATTATTTTGTTACTGCTTAATGTTATATCAACCTCTATCACTTGATCAATAAAAAGGCAGACACACAACAAGTGCACTGTTAAATCTTTTAAAACTGATAAAAGTGTATAAAAGTTTAGAAAAAAAGTATAAACGTCACACATTACATTACTTATTTTATTATACTGAAATGTTTAAATACTTAAAATTAAAAATTACGCATTAACTTGAGCAGCTGTTTTTTAATCTCTCGGTAAATCAACTCAAGAGTTCAAGTTTAAACTCAGAGTTGTTTGAACCTCCTTACTGAAACAAGCCCCAGGGGTGGGGAACGTCCGGCCTCCGGGCCGTATGCGGCCCACGAGACCATTTGATTCTGCCCCATTATTCAGCTACAAAAGGGGTGATTTTGAATTGAAGTTTTTTTTCCTGACAGTGAAGCACATTTGTTTGTTTCATATTTTTATTCTATTGTATTTTTTCCCTTTCCTTTTTTACAGGGTGGAATATAGCTGCATATATAAAATCAGATTTATTTGCCCTCCTGAATTATTAGCGACCCCCCCCCCCCCCAATTTCTGTTTAATGGAAAGATTTATTTTCAACCCATTTTTAAACAAAACAGACTTAACTCATTTCTAATAACTGATTTCTTTTATCTTTGCTATGATGACAGCACATAATATTTTACTAGATATTTTTCAAGATACAAGTATTTAACTTAAAGTCTGATTCAAAGGCTTAATTAGTGTAATGAGGCAAGTCATTGGTTAACAGTAGTTTCTTCTGCAGACAATCAAATATATATATTGCTTAAGGGGGCTAATAATATTGACCTTAAAATAGGTTTCAAAATATTAAAAACTGCTTTTATTCTAGCCAAAATAATACAAATAAGCCTTTCTCCTTAAGAAAAAATATTATAGGAAATACAGTAAAAACTTCCTCTGTTAAGCAACATTTGGGAAATATTTATATATAAAAAAAACAAAATTCACAGAAGGGCGAAAAATTTTGACTTCAACTGATTATCGTTTTTGAATAATTGTGAATAAAATTATGACCAAAATAATCGCGATTATGATTTTTCCGATAATCGAGCAGCCCTATAATTTAGTATGGCCCCTAAACGATGTTACAAAAATGTAAATGGCCCTTAATAGAAAAAAGGTTCCCCACCCCTGATTTAGACAGATGAATAATTACAGGCATGACACTTCTCATCTGTTTTGTGAATGAAGTACAATGTTACTATAGTAAAACTGTTTTAAAGCTTGTTTTATGCTTTAAGCTAAATAATAACAGTAGCTTGTAAAATAACTAATAAAGTATATACATGTATACAGTTGAAGTCAGAATTATAAGCCCCTCTTTGAATTTTTCTTTTTGTTTTTAAGATATTTCCCAAAGGATGTTTAACAGAGCAAGGGAATTTTCATAGTATGTTCTGCTAGAATAAAAGCAGTTTTAAATTTTTTTTAAACACTATTTTAAGGTCAAAATTATTAGCCTAACCTGCCTAGTTAACCTAATTAACCCAGATAAGCCTTTAAATGTCACTTTAAGCTGTATAGAAGTGTCTTGAAAAATATCTAGTTAAATATTAAGGACTTTCATCATGGCAAAGATAACATAAATCAGTTTTTAGAAATGAGTTATTAAAACTATTATGTTTAGAAATGTGTTGAAAAAATCTTCTCTCCATTAAAAAGAAATTGACGGAAAAAATAAACAGGAAGCCAGAAATTCTGACTACTATTATATTTTATTTATATATTATATTATATATATATATATATATATATATATATATATATATATATATATATATATATATATATATATATATATATATATATATATAATTCTAAATCATTTTTATTAAAATGTATTTTTAATGATACCAATACATTCATACAGAGATTCCTATCATTAAACAAATGCATAGAAATTCTAATTCTGATTAAAATGTAAAGTTGTTTGTTGAAGAAAGAATTGAGAAAGAAATAGGAAAAAATATAGGTCAAGAATCATTTTGGAATTGTATTGTGATCGGAATCGGGTCTGATCATGAAGTGTCTAAAGATTCCCACCCTAACATACAGTGTTATTACAAACAATAAGAGGCAAAATCTGGACACCTGTTTCACTCCCTATGTAAATTAAAATGTTAACCTCTCCCATTCAAAAGTCATGAGTCATTTAAAAACAAAAGATTCATTCAACAATTAAAAAACACTGCTGTGTTGCTCATAAATTGCCTCTGCTGTGAATTTATTTGGAATTCTTTTCATTTGTCAAATGAGCCAAAACATTTGGAGTCTTAAGTCATCTAATGATATCTTCTTGTTTACTGAGCTGTTCCATAAAATCAGTGACATTTGCAAACAATGCTGATGTTGAGCATAATGCCTCACTTGCGTCTCCCATATTGCTTAAATGGGCGAGAAGATTTTTAGCTGAAAATGGGGTCCTTGTTGATTCATAAAATGCAAGCCAATGATTAAATTCTGTGTGAAATGGAAGTTGCTAAGAGTTTAGTTTTAACCAGTTAATGTACCCCAAACTGAAACAATATTGAGTAGAAGGGAGGAGGGGCTTTCTTTCTGTGAATCATTTCTCAAAGAAACCAACCTAAAGAGGGGCGTGGTTAAGAATGCTTTGGCATCAAACCGTCAAAGTGAAATCCACAGAGAATGGAAGTAAAAGGTCACTTTGATTTAAGATTACCAAAACAAACTTTTTATTTTTCAGTGGATTAACTTGCACAGATGAATTGCTCCCCTGAAGAAAAATTCTATGCTAGCAAAGTAAACATTTTGATTTCACACTGACTAAGAATAATTACTTCTGCATCAAGTAAATGCAGTAGGTCTGGCATAGCCTTTGTCGAATACCCTTTGTTGTACCCTAATGGAAACCAGACATGGCAAAAGTACAAATCTTTTACAAGTAGAAGTACATTTACTCATGTTTAAAACGACTCTGGTAAAAGTTGAAGTACTGACTAAAGTTTTGTACTCAAGTAAAAGTAAATAAACCTGTTTTAGTTTCACAGTGGTAACCACACAGCACATTAGGTATACATCTATACAAAAGAACCTACATTTCTAAGTTTTCGGTAAAGATTTTGTGGCAAATTTTTATCTGCAAACTAGTCAAACAACATCACTACAATATTGTCCAATAACACTGCTTAAAACATTGCCCCCATGTATCATAGCCTGGACACAAAACACTTTACACTGGTTACAAACAATAGCTGCCATACTGCATATACAGTAGCCTAAAATAACCTTATGTAGAACTAAAGGGGCTTTCCCAGTACATTATTGACAACAATATAGTCTTTATTTACATCTCTTATGTTGTTACTATTTAAATCAAAGATTTTTATGCATTACTATTGGAGAAGAGCTTGACAAATGAGGTTAACAATAAATATTTGAGCGAGTCAATTAATTTATGAATGAGCCGTTTTAAATGAATCTGAATGAACAATTCAGTGACAAAGATAAACATTTGGCGCCACCCATTGGACATATTGGTTTCAAGTTAATGTAGCCTCTGATCAAAAAATAATAATGTTATACTTTAATTTTCAGCATTTGAAATAATCTGATGAATAAAATGAATATAAATTTAAGGTTAAATGTGACATCTAAGATGTAAATAGATGACATGTAAGAGACATAATTTCAGTGTTAATAATTGGCTTAGGACAAACATACCATTAAACTATTTTGTGCGTTTCGTTTACCTGTGATCCGATCGCCCAAAATCCATCTTATTACCTCATATAAACATGACATCAGTCATGTTTACATCACCGATTGCCTCTCATCAAAGTTTGCAATTCTTGTCGTTATTGTCATTATTGCCGTACTCATGGTAAGCTTAATCAACAAGCCTATTTATAGCGCGTAATGAGAGTTTAAAAAAAAAAAAACCAAAACCAAAAAAAACAAACAAACGATTGATTCAAAAAGGCGGTTAAATTGCGCAATGACAATATTATAGATTGTGCCACAAAACACAGTAAACAAAAGTAACAAGCCTGATTTAAAAATACAAGGAGTAGAAAGTACAGATATTTGTGTAAAAATGTAAGGAGTAAAAATAAAGTGCTATTAGAAAAATAAGTACTGATATCAGAAAAATCTACTTAAGTATAGTAAAGAAGTATTTGTACTTCGTTACTTTCCATCTCTGATGGGAACCCTGATGGACAGCTCTCAATAACATCATGTAAGATCTGTTATTGGTCTGCTTGGTAGCGGTAATGTGTTGGTTGGGAACACGTTTTTGATAATTAACTAACGATGTTAACCAATGTTTTGCTTTACTTAAGGGCCTTTGCCATAAGTAAAGCAAAATATTAGTTAACATGGTTTATTTATAAATCTTAATTCAAACCTTTTGTAATGTTTTGGAATACTTTACCATAAACTTAAATGTATAATGATTTTATTAGCTATCATAAACATCATTAACAAAAATGTTTTGGCTATATTAATCTTGGATAATCTTTGGATAAGTTATCCTAAATTTAGTTTTTATTCATAATAATTTAACTTATACAAAAATTAATTAAATTTATTTTTAATTTAGATTTATTTTTATTTATAAATCTAAATCAATAAATCTAAATTTTAATTTATTTTTATTTTTAATTGAGAGCTGTCCTGATGGATATTATCCTAAATTTAGTTTTTATTCATAATAATTTAATTTATACAAAAATCCACTAATGCTTTAGTTAATGTACAAGAACTGAAACCCTAAATTCAGTTTCTTATAATAATAACAAAAAATAGCACTGGCAAAGCTCACTAAAATGAACAAGTGGAAAAAAGGTTGACTATAAATCTCAGAGTAAAGAACGGTGGAGCTGCTTCTGCTGCTTTCTAGAAATGAAAGAGAATGGCTTGTTCTTTAACATCTCTAAGCCCTTTACCCACTTCCTGTCAGGAAACCAGAGTGGTTGAAGTTCAGCTCACCACATTCACCAGCTGCCTTATCATCTCTCTCCCGAATGCAATCTCTACTCAACCGTTTTTGCTACAGAGTATTTCATTGTGTACTTGGGACCACATTGAGGCAATATGCGACAAGCCCCTACAAAAACTCTAGTCATCTGGTTTCAGAAGGCATGTCTGTTTCCTACCCTGTCATTTAATATAAGTTCAGTTTGTGAACACATTCACAGTCTTGACCTGACAGCTCATAGCACACTACCACAAATCACTAACATGCTGTCAAATTGCGTGATTGTAATATGAAATTGCAATATTAATATACTTGAGGGTTACGTCAGATATAAAGGGGTAGTTCATCTAAAAATAAAATATATATATTATGATTTACTCATTTTCCAATTGTTATTGTTCATTTTTGTGGCTAAAGATTTCCATCATTAACTCATCCTTCACTTGTTCTTCTTCTAAACTAAGGCAGACATACTGAAGAATGTTTGAAAGAACTTCCATTGTGAAGGGTGAGTAAATAAAAAAAGAATTCTCAGTTTTGTGTGAACCTTTCCTAACAATTAAACTAGCTGCAGGATGTAAATATTTATTGTTATTAACTACTGGAGCTACTTTTGCTACAGTTACGCCATCCATCCACACTACCCTAGAGTTTTTTGAGCGCCGAAAACTGAACGTTTTGAAAACGCTGGAGAGGCTGTTTTGCTTTTAAAATGCTACTGCTCTGTGTTGGTGTGAATGGGGGAAAACGAAACATTGGATCCTTTTCTTTGTGAGTTCAGACTTCACAAGTTTATTGTGGAGAACAAACTCCCGAGGACATGTTGGGTAAATCTTCAAAGGGAGCAGTGTAACTTCATTCTCATCACCCAGGCTACGTTATTTCACTATCTTTGCAATAAAATGAAAAGTTGATGTAAGGTACTGCCTATTTTCAATTTGATATTCGCAACTTAACAGACACCAAAAATGTTGAGGCATTGTGTAGGTATTTATTTGACCTTCATCTTCACTTTATGCATAACAAAACAGAGCCTGTTAACATAGCCTTACTATTTTCATTGAAAAATACAAAAATACTCTTCTTCGCTGAATATCAGTTTTAGCAATCAATAATTGCTATTATAAAAGTATAGCATACAATAAGTGTAAACAGTATAGAAAATAAATGCAAGCAATCAGTCAAATGTGCAGAATCGGTGTACATGGTTACATAAATTAAATATGTTAACTTATTTTTGCACTCAGCCAAAACACATTATCTGGAAACAAGTGATGGATTCAAAAGACCAAAGAGTCGTTAGATGAACACCAGATTAATTAAATATCAGGTTTAACAATTATAGTGAAATGACATCCAGCGATAGATCCTTGATGAACAGTTCGACGTGTGCTGCTCTCACCTGGGTATGTGTGCTCAGGGCTTAATTTGTGCCGGCACCTCTAAAATCCTATCCGTCACCTCATTTTACCGATCCCTCTCTTTAACCGCCCTCCTCCCCCGTCGGCTGTTCACTTTCATCTGAGACAACCCCCCACCCCCACCCCCACCCCCCGGCTCTTAACTTACATCTGCGACACCTCTGCGCCATCGAACACCCCGCTATTCTTTTGTACGTGACACCTCTACATCCTCGGGTAACATGCCAGATCCTTTACCCTGATCTGTTCCGGAGCCTTGCAATTCACAAATTATGCACTGGGTGTGCTTAAAGCACCCGTTGATTGTCTGGGGCTCAGATGTCCATATACGCAACAGTGCATGCCAGAGTGTGTGTGTGGTCATGTGTTGTGCGTTTTCAGCCATGTTGTGTGGACAATGATCTTTTGAGAAATGGTAGGTGAAACGCCAGTGTGGATGCAGATCATTTTCATTCTAAAACGCAGTTTTAAAACTAAAACGTATTAGTGTAAACAGGGCCTATGAAAACTCAGTCTCGTGAATGATAATTAGGTACCAATGTGTTATCAAGTTCTATGCTACATCAGCACCAGTGACACCGCCTCGATGTAGATTTTAAACCCAGAAAATGACATTAGCGGAAAGCTCAAAATAAGCCATGTTGTGTCTTGCAATTAAAGCGAACAGATGCTAATGTTGTCTTGATGTTTAGTGAGGATTTTATGACCGTTTGAGCACTTTTCTTCAATTACAAATATAATACAGTTCATAATTTACCACCACACTTGATTAAGTTTTGTCGATTTTTTTATTTTTTTTTGTAAATGATTTGTGCAGAATAGTCTTAACTTCTGCTAATACCAAACTATATTCTCTTCTATTCTTTCTATAGGTTTTATTTTTATGAGATTCCTTGATAAAATAAATAATGAAATCAATTTTCTTACCTCCTGGCTCTAGGAAAACTCGTGCAGAGTGGCTCGCCAATGTAAGAAAAAATTACGAGGACAGCATGAAGAAAAATACGTTTGTTTATAGCATAGCAGTGACAAAATAGAAACAACACTTCCGATTCTGAGCACTGAGTAAATCCCTATTACATCCCGAACATCCTCAGTTTAAACATTTATACTGTTTTGTGTTAATCTTCTTGCTCAACATGACATTGAGGATTTGTTTTGAATGCATATTTGGGTAAACAATGAAACTGATGCTCTTCATATATGGGGAAAAAAACGTCTCATCAGCTCCTTAAAAGTTCCCAGTATTGAGTTGCAGCTGTAAGGATATCTGCTGCATAAAACATATGTTAGAATAGTTCTCGGTTCATTCCACTGTGCCTACCCCTGATAAATAAGGGACTTAAGGAAAATGAATGAATGAATGAGCTTCTTAAGAGTAATATGTAAGTAGTATTTCTATTAACGCAGTAGTGATATAAGCTCCCCAATGTACTGTAAAATCTATTCAAAATTTGTCAAAGATTATCCTCTTTATGAAGAGTTTTTAACTGTTTTAAGTCTCATTTTTATGTTTCTCCATATATTATCTCTGTATTATTCAAGTGTTTTTTGTTTGCTCTTTAGTACACAGGAAGAGGTTGGTTTTTGTTTCGAGTTGTGTCAGTGTGGATTGGGGTACCACAGTGATTCTTTTCAGCTTTTGTCTCGTACAAAAACCCTCACAGAGACTAAATGGCTGCCGCTGCACTGGAGGACAGCCAGAAGATTGTTCATACCTCTTAGACTTGATGACTTCCACTGCAGCTTGGAGTTTCATCTCAAACCTATGCCTTTATTTAATTAGTTTTAGTCAAATATGCCTACTGAGAAGATTCTCCAGATGATTTTCTGTCTGTGAATTACTGCACAACTGCAGAGGGTTTTTGTATTGAAGTTTTTCATTGTGTCTGGACTACCACAGTGATACATTCATTATTAGGCGCTGTACAAAATCTCACAGCACTGTTTTATTAGTTTAAAAATGCTATCAAGAGATTTAAATTAATGTCTGATGGAAAGGCTGAGCCATTACATGGTCAATTTTCCCAGTTCTGTTGTTTCTGATTTGAAGGCTTTTGTTTCAGACACTTGTTTGTATCTGTAAGGAGCAGATGTGACTTCAGCATGATGATAGACCAGCAACTGGAAATGTCTGCGAAAATACACCAAACTGGATATTTTCAACTGGATATTTGACATCAATCTCAATATGAGACTATAATGCATTTCTCCAGATCTAAGGACATTTTTCATGGGCAAAGGATATTGTCTGAGGGTTGAATGAAGTGTGCCGACCCACTAACTTTCGGAGCTCCCATCCGTCTCACGGTCAATCCAAGTAAGTAATTCAGCTTTCATTGTTACTATAATGTTATTTTCCAACTCATGCACTTGATTTTGTGTAAAGATGATGTTTGGTCTGATAGTTGAGGTTGACAGGGCACAGTTAGGTTAGTTTGTCAGTCCTAAAGCTGCTGTAGGTTCAGGAGTGTTTTTGTAGGGGTTACGCTAGACGTGCATTTTCAGCTACTGATCCTTTAACATTCGGCAAACCGATCACCCTCACGGTAATACCAAGTAAGTACTGCTTTTAAATTCTTACATGCAAAACACCAACAATTGTGCTATAGAAAATAGTGTAATTCCAACCTCTGTAGTTTGAAACAGTCACTTATTTGCTTAGTAGTTGTTTGTGCGGTACTATTGCAAGCTTGTGATCATAGTATGGTAAAGAAAATGTTTGATCAGTTAATTTTGATAGATGTTTTGTAAGGCTGTACGTAAATTTGCAACTACAGATGGTTTATAAGTTTTAAGACTGTTACTCAATGGTCTGACAAAACAAAAATCGACATCACTCTCATGTGTTCACGATTATTCTAATGGAGGATGAAGGATAAAATTGATTTGAAATGTTTACTGTATGTTGGTTAGATAGATTCAAGTTGCAGAAATAGAACAGGGTATTAGTTTAAAAAATAAAGGTGCTTTATTGTCATCGATGGTTCCGTGAAGAACCCTTAACATTCCTTTCCATTCAATTCATTGTGAAAATGTTCTTCACACTATAAAAAAGTTTTTTATTTAAACAAATTTGAAGAACATATCAATTAAGCTTCTTTAGGGAACCAAACTGCATGATTCTTCTGTTATCATCACTGCAAAAATAATCTATAAAGACTGTGATGACTGTGCAGTTTTGCCAACGAACTCATGAAATCTGTTTATTTTTATTTAAATATGGTGGCTAAATGTGTTTCAGTCAGTTCACTGATGTCTGTGAATCAAATTTCTTAATTGAATCTGTTTATGAAGCGTTTGCTGAAAGGTTATTTGCAGAACCCAAAACGGCTCTTTTATTGCATCACTGTGAAAACAAAAAACCTAAACCAAAAAAAAAAAAGTAAAAAAAAACTCTGACTATCATAAGCTTATTTTGTAAATAAGTCTTGCATATTTGAAGAAAGCGTTGTTTTGCAAAGGAACTCATGAAATCTTTTTTTTTTTTTCTTTGTTTAGAAGAGACAGTGAATTCTCCTCCGGCATTTTTGTCTGTCTTGTCCCCTATAAAGGGCCATGGATCTGATATTTGTGTGGCCGCCGGATTCTTTCCTCAACAAAAGACAATGATTTTGACTTCAGAAGATGGAAATACTGTTAATCAAGAAACCAGTAATGCAGTCCTGTCCTTGTCAAGCAAAAACTACTATTATGTTGGATCTTCAGAAAAAAAAATCCAAGAATGCGTAATGGATGGAAAAACAGCAAAGGCAGACAAAATAGATAAACCTTCTGGCAATCCTGTTGAAGGTTTGTAAATTTGACAATTGCCATTTACAATATTAATATTGTTTTATATAATAATATATATATATATAGAATAATAATTATATATATATATATATATATATATATATATATATATATATATTATATACTATACACACACATATATATATATATATATATATATATATATATATGTGTGTGTGTGTGTGTGTGTGTGTGTGTGTGTATGTATATATATATATATATATATATATATATATATATATATATATATATATATATATATATATATATATATATATGTGTGTGTGTGTGTGTGTGTGTGTATGTATATATATATATAAATATATATATATATATATATATATATATATATATATATATATATATATATAATTTAAATGTATGTATGTATGTATGTACAGTATGTATGTATATTATGTGTGTGTGTGTATTACCGTAGCTTTCTAACCAATTCTTATTTTACAGACAATCCAAAAAAAACGGCTACACTTGAATGTCACACAAATACTACCACCCCACCATCCACAAATAATGGTTAGTGATAAAATACATTATGTTCTACAAAAATATATTGTATTAGTTCGGTTATTTACATTATGCTATGCAAGTTTAATTAGTTTATTGTTCACCTTTTTCATTTTTTTTTCCAGATGATCCAAAAACAAACTCAATGACGCTTCTTGTGATAGGTCTGAGAATTCTGCTGGCTAAATGTGTTGCAGTCAATGTAATGTTGTCTATAAAGGCATTTTTGTTTTAAACTTTTAGTTCATTTAATCAAATTTCTTAATTGAATCTTAAAGAAATTTGGTTAAAGTGTCAGTGTTTATTGAACTTACATGCAATGAAAAATACAAATTGTTAGTTTAGAATGTAGACACAATGTATACTGGAAAATCTTCAGTCAAAATGTTGACTGTGAGATATGTATATTGCTTTGCTATATTATATAATTTCAGCTTTTGTTACAGGCAGTGCATGCTAGTATATTGTTTTAATATTATATATATATTTTCTTTTTTTCATAGAAGTATCAAAATGTTTATCATAATCTGGTTGTTATTGATTACTATTTTACTTTTGATATTGAGGCTCTGATCTTTGTAATCAATAAATGCATGTTTCTTATTAAAATACCTTCATTCAAAATATTTGTTTGTGTGAGCATGTCTTAACCATCATTTCAACAGCACATTTGTGCTCTCTGCAAACTCTAACCACACTTAAAGATAAAGATCATCTGCTCGCTTCAGTTTCCAAGAAATACTGTTTTTCCCCTCCAGTGTCTCTGACAGAAAGAGAAAAGAACAGCTGTAAACAGTCCTACAGTTCCTGCCTTGTAATTAATTACTCAAAACTATTATTTACATTTATTTCAATCCTTTACAAAGTTCTTGATCGAATCATAATTTTACAGATTATAGTGGTACAGTGGTTACTGAAGCTCTCCAATCCTTCTAAAGTATTTTGTAATAAATTCCTAAAGTTTATTTAAAAATGTATTGAATAAATATTTTGTATGTATATAAAATATAATATATTTACACAGGCATGTAATGTATAATTACCAAATTGCTTAATCATATTTAATGTTGCATAACAAATGGTGTATTTAAATAAATTCTAAAGCAGGGTGTATATGTTTTTGAGAATTGATCACAAATTTGATTTTCCGTAAAAGCTTGTCATGATCTTTCTGGGAGATTTTAAAACAATAATATTACTTTCAGATTAATTGGTTTAAATATTATTTATATATATATTTATATATTATTTATTTATTTATATATATATATAGATTTATTCCGATGTGGCGACTCAGGATTAATAAAGGGACAAAGCCGACAAGAAACTGAATGAATGAATGAATATATATATATAAACTCCACACAGAAACGCCAACTGAGCCGAAGATCGAACCAGTGACCTTCTTGCTTTGAGGCGAACGTGCTACCCACTGCGCCACTGTGTCGACATATATAATCAACCATATAATCAATATATATATTGATTGTCAATCTTTATTGTCATTTTTATGCAATGCCTAATTATCCTAACTTGCCTAATTAATCTAGTTAAACCTTTAAATTGCACTTTAAGCGGAATAGTATCTTCTCAAAATAATTTCTTGGACCACTTTTCTATGTTTATTGTCCTGTATGTTTACTGTACAAACTGATTAAAATAGAGCATGATACTCATATAATGGGATAGTTGATCTCATAATTTCTCATAATCAAGCACTTCTAATCTTTTATGATTTTTTTCCCCCATTAAACCTGAATCAAGATATTCTGAGGAATGTTGGGAAACAACAGCTATTGACGTCCATAGTATGAATAAAAAATACTTAAGAAGTCAGTGGCATTTTTTGCCACAAATATTTTTGTTCGACAGAAGAAAGAAACTCAGTTTTGGAACCAGTGGAGGATGAGTAAATGATGACAAAATTTTCAATTGAGGATTAACTATCCCTTTAAGACAGATGCCTTTGAATCCTTGGCCCCACCAGAAGAAAAATGATTGGGAAGGATTGGGCAATGCCTTTAACAGAGATTCTCATTTCTATTTTAATGTAACTTTTTGTTAGTTTGTTTTATTGTTGAGCTAAAAAAAAAACAGCTAACTGAAATTAAATGTTTCAATTAAATGTACATGAATCATAAAAAAATACATACTGCCATTTAACGAAAAGGGGACAAAGCAGAAGACAAATCAAGGCAAAGGCAGGCTCAGCATGACTAGTGTATTAGAATTTTAAAAGGTTTTTTAATGGTTTTATTGAAGTTCGTTAAAATAATATACATAAAAATTGATTGCATTAGTAAATACAGTTAAAGCATTTTTTTAATATTATGAAATAAATTATGAAACTACCCCTGGCAACTTTAATGTACGTTTTGCTATTTTTTCTGTCGACCCTCAATCAAGCTTGAATTTTGGTCTTTTATAAGAAAAGGCACCCCTGCTTTAGGAGTATGAAGTATGGGGTGCTGCACTCTTGTGGCCGTTTGTGTGTTTCAGCCATAGACATCTAGCCTACTATAACAGAAAGCTTTTTATAATATGTATGTGCTTTCAGCTTTCCATTAGGGCTTGAGTGGCCTCTAGTGGCTGCATGAAGCGACATCAAATATTCTCTCTACCTCAGTTTTTGTTTTGTGCTTGTTTTGTGTGAATGTACTAGGTTTAAATAATCTGTCGTTGGCCCGAGTGGATTAGGGTGTTAGTCCGGCCTGCTTTGCTTCATGTCCCGGTTTAAACCTGCTTTTATAGTTTTGACTTTTTCAACTACAAAATACCCTAAATCTAATCATTGCTGTATATAAGTAGCACATTTGATTCAGTAACTGACTACAACGTTTGCTAATGCTTAACTTTCCATCCAACATAATAAGACACCAAACCAAAGTGTTTTGGTAGCGTACAAACGTTAAATTAGATGTTAAATGTCTTTAAAGTAGGACATCTGGTTTAAAAGGTTGTCAATGTTTACAAAAATGAAGAGCAATAAATAGACCATGCGTCACGTTAAAACTAGGCCAGTAGAACACCGCTGTCTATATCACCGCTGAAGAGGTGAGTTACTATTTTTCTCTTATTTTGGGGTATTTTCTTCACAGTAAAATGTTCTGCTGTGCAAGTGTTAGTTCATTTGTCTGCTTTGGAATGATGTTTGAGCAAAAAAATGAGCTGTGATGGAAAACTCATCCCTTAATACACTGTTTCTTACAGATGAAGTGTAGAAATGTCCCAGGATCTCAAATCAGTATCGAGCTGGGACTCTAAGGTAAGGATTTAAACAGTTTGTTTGTGTATCTTTATATGTTTCACTAAATATAAATATCATATTTGTTTTTTACATGACATTCAATGACACTGCTGTCAGGGATTTTTCTGCAGTAAATTATGGCTTTTCATTTTATAATTATGTGTTTAAGGTTAAATCCGAAATAAAAAGAGAAAAAAACTTTATTATGATGTAGAAAGATTTTTTTTTTTTACATTTTATTTAACCTTTAAGTAACAAACAGGCTTCCATTGTTAAACAAATAACATTATATCCGAGCAGCATATAATTATAAGCATATAATGAACAAAATAGTACAAAAAATAATAACATAAATAAAACATTAAATCACAAATGAAAATATGTTTAGGGGGTCAATCCATATAAGTTGAGAGAACTTTAAGACACTTTTAGGGTGCTTTTAAATGTTTTATGGATTTAAATCTCATTAAAACTATCATCTTTATCTCTGTCTTGTGGGACAAGGTTTTATGTCTGGGAATGAAGCACTGTGGTCATCCGGTTCGAACTTCAAGCTTTTAATGGGATCTGGAACCAAGTTAAATGTGCAGCAAAGTAAGTGTTATTTTTAATAGCTCTTCTTTTTGCTTTTTGAACACAAAAATTATGATTTTAAAATGTGTTTTCTTTTTTTCATTAAATAAGTGAATGAGTTAAACCTCCCTTCTGATAACTTACAAATTAGTATATTTTTCAACCTTAGTTTGCACATGTAAATATTGGCCAGTTTTGGGAGTTTGAGGTAAAAAAAAAAAAAAAAGAAAGTTTTTTGACACCATTTTAGTGTTGTGTGAATGACCAGGGAATCAATAAGATAATCTTTGCCACTAGCACAAAACTTTTAGTGGAATCAGGGAGATGTATTATTTTTCTTTATTACTGTAATACAAGAACATGACATTTATGCATTTCAGTAGTATAACTTAATTTTAATATAGTTAACACATTTAAAAAAACTGGTCACTTCTCCTTTGAAAGCATAAAAAAGAGAAAGTATAAACAGCATTGTGTTGTCATCAGATTGTATATTATTTGCAAATGCAAAGTTTGACTAACGTAATGACTTATTATCATTATTTTTACATTTATTTTAAAAGCTATTTCAGTTCTAGAACACCCAGGGAGATTATTAGAAAACATTTCTGAAAAAAAATCAGTATGAGCCTTTAAATGTTATAAAGAGCTGCTCTTTGTGTAGAGAGGTTTTTGTGAAGTAGTTTAGCATCGTGAGAATGCTATCGGAGTTAGCCAGGTCATATTTGGCCATGGTTCCAGGCTCATTGTGAACACAAGTAAGTTATTATTAGGTGTTTATCTAAATACTTCTGAATACAGAGGTTTCTAAATAGCAGTTTGTGTGATTTTAATTAAAAAGTGCAATCTTAGTATCTTTTGTAAAAAAAATGTGCAATCATTTAGCATTGACGTTAACAGACCAAACTGGATAGCTAATTTGAAAGTCTAGTATTTAGTTACTTTTCAACTAAATCCAATTTAAGCCTACATTAAATTTTAACTAAATGTCATTCACTGCTCAATACAATAATATAAATTCATTTGTATTTATTTTTACTACCAAAAATCGTGTTCTGTTGCTCGACACTTTTGCAGGGAGTTTCTGTTATAGCGTATAACTTTGTGTGACTAGAGGCAATGACAAGCTTATTTTTGCAAAAGGAATGAAACTAATTGTGGAATCAGGTAAGTTTAAGATTTTTCTGCTTTTATGAAATGCTTGTGTAATATGATATATGTGAAGATATAAGCAATTTGTAAACTGTACTTATGTTAGATTAAACTTCAGTATAATCTAACATATGTTTTTGATTTGCTAGTTTGGAGACATATTTAAAAAATCTCTTCAAAATGTGTTTAACTTAAACATTTATGTATGTTTTTATTATTTCTATATACAAATTATGAATACTTTATTAGAAGTTTATGTTAAATTGTATTTATTTTTAAAACCAAAATTTAGTGACACATTTGGATTTTTTATTTTTGGAGTGATAAATCATCTTATATTTAAAACAACGCATAGTAACTTTTCTTGAAAAACTAATTTTTCCAATTAGCTTAAAAGAGTAAATGAGCAGTGAAATGTGGTGCATAGGTTTATGTATGTGTGTGTAGCCATGTGTGAATACTGGCAGCCTTGGAAAAATAATCTTTGGTCAAGGAACTAAACTTTTCATCCATTCAAGTAAGTTTGCTCTTCAGAGTTGTATTTTATTTTATTTTAAAGTGGACTGAAAAAAAAAAAAAAAAAAAAAAAGCAAAGTTGCAGGTAGGTTTATTTCTCTTTTTATGAATTTTAAAAGGTGTGTATATTTCTGCGTTGTTTTTACTTTGTAACATTTGTTGTATAGTACATTGTTTTAAAAAAATTGTTCTGAATGGATCAAACATTTTTTTTGTTAAAAGAAGATACATGAAGTCTTAAAAAATTGTGTGCTTAATCCAAGCTGTTATTTAGGAATAAATATATTACTAATACTTTTTGAGAGGAACATTTTTCTATATCAAATTAACTTAGTACATTAGTAAATTAGTACAGTAAATGAGTACAGTAAAGGATATTGTAGTGAGATAATCTGCTGTGTGAATGTTGGTGCTGGCAATAAGCTGATTTTTGCTCAAGGAACCAGTCTTATCATTGAATCAAGTAAGTAAGAGATGTAAAATGATCTCTGTTGCTGAAACAGAAGATAAAATGTAAGAAAAATAGACTAAATATGTGGATATAGATTGGTATGAATTATAGCATTATCAAGGCTATAATCATGTGTTAAAAGAACCTTGTTTCACAATTTAACAATATATTTAAAATGATTTGATCAATGAATATAAAAAAATAAAACTAAAATAGCCAGTATAGGAGTCAATGTGACTATAAAGTTACTTTTACCTCTTTGCAGTGACGAGTAGTGTTTAGAGTATTTGATACAGGTTGTAGTGCTGTGTGGATGCAAATACTAACAAGATGATTTTTGGCAGTGGAACAAAGCTGTTTGTTGAACCAGGCAAGTATTTTTGTTTAATGCAGACACTTGTCTTACTGCTTGAAGTTTCTTGGGTTTAGTGATAGAAATATTTGGCTGTAACGGGTAAAGATAGTAAATATTTAACTTAACTGGGTCAGGAAGAATTACTAATTTAGTTAATTTCATTTAGCTATAAAGGACTTTTTTCATATGTGTACAAAACAAAAAAAAGGATAAAATAAATTGTAGAAAAATAAAAAATATATTTAAAAAATTAAATGAAATTAAGGTATATCATTAATTTGCTCTGTGTTAAAGGTCAATCTTTACAGTAAAGTCAGGTTAGATAAACATAATTCAAAATTGAAACCAAAAAAAGTAATTAAGACATACAGTACACTGAATATTGATGGTTGATGTTTGTTGAAGTTAATTCAAAATGAGCGGAAACAACACAATTCTTGAGGTTTTTGTTTGTTGGAGAACTTAATCATTTTACGTTTAGTCCACTTAAGTTAGTAAAAATGAATAAGTTAACTTAATTCCTTCTTGTTGTCCAAACACAAATTCATTGTGTGGAACCCAGCATTGTTTTACAGTGTAGTTTATACATCTGGTTTGTTGATGCCATAAAAGTTGTATTTGTTTCTGCACAAAGCACTGTGTGTCTGGTAGTGGAGCCGCAGGGAAGATTATTTTTGGAAAAGGAGTGAAACTCACAGTAAATTCAGGTATAAATATATTTTCTAATACCCTTAACACAAAATGACTGTGTCACACATTTAAACAATTTAGCATTGTGTGAAGCTGTTGGAAATGTCTATTTGCTGAACGTATGAATTAAGTTTTATTAAGCATCTAGAAAACTATGCTGGTAAATAACATTGTGTATTTTGGTATTGACATAAGATTCAAACCCAATGCTTTTGTAAAAAAAAAAAAAAAAAAAAGAAAGAAAAAAAAACCTTCAAGCTCAATGATTTCTAAATATAGATTTAGTTGTGATTTAGTGTTGTAGATTGATCCTTTTCAAATGTTAATTTGATAATTTCTTTCTTGCTGTTCTTAATATACATAAAAAACATCTATAAAAGTATAACAGTGCATGTGTTTTAAATTAGTCATTGTTTTCTAATTCCATCCTTAGTTATTTAACCTTTATAAAATAAATATGAGAGCCAGTTCTTTAGGTCGATATGTGAATGGGGTATTTGGTATAGGCTGTAGCTCTGTGTGAATACAAGGAAATTATAAGATTATATTTGGTGGCGGAACAAAACTCATCGTTGAACAAGGCAAGTACAGCAAAAGTTGTAAACCATAATATAAAACATCGCTTTATATAATATACATGTATGCGTTTATTTTAGTCATGTGCTAAGAGCATATTTCTCAATTAAATCACTATTTTTTATGTAGCACATGCACTGCAATGGGAAAATACAAGAATTAACAAGCATTAAAACATGATCTTATTTGACCTCATTAATTATTTATTATCTACTCATTCTTGCAGATTAAAGAGAAAAATAGGACATTTAAAAAATTGTTTTACACTGTAGGGAGTTTTTGCTAAAGACAAAATTAATGTGTGACTAGCGGTGACTTTGCATATTTTGGCTCTGGAACTAAACTTACAGTTGAAATGGGTAAGCACTTTCTATAGATGTATGATTATTGTTCAAAAAGCTATACAATGAACAAAATGCTGAAGGTTTTACTTGGATGCAACTTTTACTCCAAAATTGTTAGTACATTACAATTATATATATTACAAATAATTGAGAGTAACACAAAACTAAACATTAATATTAGAAGTGCAAAGACTTATTTGCAACTTTGAAAAGTAATTTTACAGTGTGTTGCAGGACTTTTTTTAACACTGCTTAATCACCTACATATTTATTGTGATTTTAATAATATACCACATTTACCAGTCCTTATAAATATCCTTATAGATTATATAGTCTTAGGGTTTTTGTTTTGTGCTCTGACATTGTGTGTCTACTGGAATGGCATCAAAGATCTTGTTTGGAACAGGAACAAAACTGATAATCCAAAGCAGTAAGTTGATATAGATCACTGATGTTTACATTTCTGTATCATGTCTTCCTAATTCCCTAGTTTAGAAATTGAGTATTTTAAATACAAATATAGTTAGACTACAAGAGAACAAAAGGTGGCTTGTGATGAGTTATTGTTGAGGTATTTAATTATGTGTGACTACCGGTTAATTGAAGATGATATTTGGGAGAGGCACTAAAATAACAGTCCATGCGAGTAAGATTTTTTTTTTTTTAATTATCTTCCCTGTTTACTTTACGTAAATAGTTAAATGATGTTTATTCAGTAGCGCTGTAGACTTTAGGAGACACAAATTTTTTAAGGTTTCTACAGAAAAGTAAATAGATAATTTCTCCTGAATAAGTAGCATGTTTTTGTGTGGTGATTTAACTGTGTGTGACTTATACTGGAGCACAGAAACTGATATTCGGAACGGGCACAAAGCTCACTGTAAATGCAGGTAAATTATTATTATTATTATTACTACTATTATTATTATTTCGATAT